CGGGCTCGTCGCCGTGGAAAACTTAGAGCCAGGCCCGGGACTCTGGCAACATCCCCCCTTTAAGGTGTCGTGCTCTGTGCGTCAAGCCTCTGCACGACTCTTGGTACCAAGATGCTGATCAAACTTAAAATACGTCTGACTATAACCCAGGAAGCCGGGGAGGGGTTGCCCCACTGAAACAAAGAAGGTGTCATCTTAAAGTATCACTAAATGAGGCTGTGTACCCAGTGAGTGGTATCGCAGGGTGTAATACGCAAACCCTGAGAGACACAGTAGGAACCCCACATCCGCCCACAAACCATGTTGCACCTGAAGGGTACGGGGAAGATCAAGATTCCTTGTGGAAGCCCGTGACATGGTGATCTCAGCACTTCCGGTACTACGTAGTAAATGCTTTATAGCACGATTTGCCCTCACCCAGAAAGGGAACACCCCCCAAGATGAGTGGTTTCATCTAAGTCTATTATCATATGAGGCTGTGCCCCGGTGAGCGCAATCCAAGATGATCAGTTTCATGTATTTCCCCTTTTAAAGAACCCCTTTTTCCAGCCCCAGTGAGTGCAATCCCCCCAAGATGAGTGGTTTCCCTGGTGTTGTCCCTTTTAAGGAAGCCGTTTTCCCAAAATACCCTACGAGGTTTCCCTGCTGCTTTCCCTAATCGAATCGGAAGCGCATGCCGGGGCGGCGGAGATCTTCACTTCGCCCTGGGCTGGGCCAGCGGGAACTTTGATCTCCTGCGTTCGAGTCGACTTGATGTTTTGCTCGAGGGGTACCACTGATGTTTTGCTCGGGGGGGGAGGGGAACCACTTTTTTGGGAGTTGCTGCTGATCCCTCTGCAAAAAGTTTAACTTTTTGTGGGTTTAGTGGAAAACCCAACTTGATTTCCCAAAAAGTTAAAGTCTAAAGGTCCAACCCAATAGCAGTCAAGAAAACATGGGGTATGTGAGCTTCCAGATGCATATCACCTACCCTGTGGTTTTTGGTTTGGGTGTGTCTCAAAATATCAGCTTCCCTCGAATTGGTGGTTTGGGTTGGTGGTTTGGCGGTTAGGAAATAGTTTCCCATTAAATTTAATCCAAATCCAAGCCACCAATGTGGTTCAAAAGGCCGGAGTTTCAATCAACCATCCCTTTTCCTATATTTTCCCAGGTGGAATCACTGGGAGGGAGGGATGTTGGATGAACCCTTGTGTTGGTTTCCCACAAAACCTTGTTGTTGAATGGCGAGCCTCCCAAAAAAACACGACTCCAAGTGAGCTTCTGCTTTTGAGGGTGCTTTTTTGGTGTGTGTGTGTGTGTGTGTGATTTTTTGGTTTCTTTGTTTCTTTGTGTCGTTGTTTCTTTGTGTGTTTGCTTGTTGCTTGCTTACTTGCTTGCTTGTGTTTGTGTGTTTGCGTGTTTGTTTGTTTGTTTGTTGGTTGGTTGGTTGGTTGGTTGGTTGGTTTGCTTGTTTGCTTGTTTGCTTGTTTGCTTGCTTGGTTTTTCAGGAAGATCCCCTAGGTTTGCCACCATTTTGGGCGGCCGCGATTTCGTGGCGCCCCAAATCGATGCTGAATGAGACCCAGTCAAACTTTGCGGTGTGCCCTCACTTTTCTCTGACCCAAAAGGCTCCTTTTGGCCACGTGTCTCATCGGAAATGTCAGGCCTGTGGGCTGCTGAGATTTCAGATCACGCAAGCCATGACCCGTCCTCGGTGGACAAAATCATTCCTGGGCGGAAGGCCGGACAAAAGGACAACACGTTTGCCAACTTGGGGGCCGTGCTTTAAAATAGGGTCCTGAAAATGGGTAGGTGTCCTTTTGGCCTCCCTTTAAACCAACGCCCAACAGTGGTGCCCACAAAAACACAAGCCCTCTTGGCCAATCCGATCTGGCCATTTGCTGGACATCATTGGGTTGCCGCCGAACCAGTTTTCAGGGCCCCCAGAAACAGATCTTGGCCAGAATTTGGCACCAGGCCTGCGTCGCCATTCACAGGAGCCTGTCACTTGCATATGACTCACCAGTGGCTGCAGCTCTCTGTCGAATGACCGGATACGATTCCCGGAGTTCAAAAAAAACCGTTCTATTGATAGGGAGTCTTCCCCTCCAAAGTGGACTCCGGCTGAAAGGGGACACTCCGCTATTAATCAACCAGGGGTTTGTCAAGATTAGTGGCGCAAGAAAAAACTCGAGGTTTGACAAGCACCCCCAGCAAATCTGTCAAAGAACACAGACCACTGCTCTCCGTATCGGGCGGATATGGTGCGCGTCCTGGCCTTGTCAGACCTTAGCCAACGAAGGCGATTTTCAAATCCGGTTTTAGGCTGGTTTTAAGGGAAATCCTGAAAACCGACTTAGTCCGGGGGTCCCCTTATTTTGACACACACCCAAATCTCTAAGTCATGTGACTCGAATTTGCACATATCTGATTGTGTGGATACAATTGGCGTTGGGCGGCATTCGGCAGGGTCTAAGAAGCACCAACTCAAGCCGTATAGCCACATGGCTCTTCCTCTCTTAAACCTGCAGGTTCGACTCAGCTCTCGTTCTCTTCCTCTCTCGCGGTGCGGGGAAGAAGCTGAGACTGGGGCACATTGGTCACACACTTCAGCCCCTCAACCTGGCGAAAAGTAGAGCTCGAAACCGCGGCATGCAGCACACTCGGTCCGTGATGTTCAACACCAAGGGGCACCGTGTCTTTCAGCAGTTGGGCATGTCAAGGGCTGGGTGTTCGATCCACTCAGTGCGGTAGCCCTCTCAAGAGTGAGGCACAGGGTGAACAAAGCAGCCAGAGTGGCTGCTTTGTTCACCCTGTGCCAACATCCGCACCAGACTACACAGGGTGTTTCCGAAAACAGGCGCGTGAGAAATGGGCTGTGGCTTCTCTAAAAAGCCAAGAAAGTAGTTCGACGACCCCAGCTTTCACACGGGTATTTGACTGTGTCAAACTAGGGCCCAAAACATGCTGGTGGTCCTGTCATTGTCCCTCTAAGCCAGCTTGAAAAAGGGTACCCGAAAAGTAATAATTTAAACAACACCAAACAAACAAACAACCAACCAATCAAACAAACAAACAAGCAACCAACCAAGCAAACAAGCAACCAAGCAACCAAGCAAGCAAGCAAACAAACAAACAAACAAACAAACAAGCAACCAACCAAGCAAACAAGCAACCAAGCAACCAAGCAAGCAAGCAAACAAACAAACAAACAAACAAACAAGCAACCAACCAAGCAAACAAGCAACCAAGCAACCAAGCAAGCAAGCAAGCAAACAAACAAACAAGCAACCAACCAAGCAAACAAGCAACCAAGCAAGCAAGCAAACAAACAAACAACCAACCAACCAATCAAACAAACAAACAAGCAACCAACCAAGCAAACAAGCAACCAAGCAACCAAGCAAGCAAGCAAACAAGCAAACAAACAAGCAACCAACCAAGCAAACAAGCAACCAAGCAACCAAGCAAGCAAGCAAGCAAACAAACAAACAACCAACCAATCAAACAAACAAACAAGCAACCAACCAAGCAAACAAGCAACCAAGCAACCAAGCAACCAAGCAAGCAAGCAAACAAACAACCAACCAATCAAACAAACAAACAAGCAACCAACCAAACAAGCAAACAAGCAACCAAACAAGCAAACAAGCAAACAAACACAAAACACAAAACACTCACATCCGCATCTCGGGAAACCCCACCGATTTCAGCACGCTGAGTTCACGGCTGCGCCGCCAGCCTTTGGAGGTACCGTCGAAAGAAGTGGCCTCAGACCCACGAGCAACTTGCGTCGAAAACCGCGGCCGTTGGAACTCGAAAGGCAGAATGATACCTGGAGGGCCAATTTGTATACTGGCTATGGCCGTATATCCCATTAAACCCCTGGGGGCAGTGATTTGGCTGTGGGTCAAAAATATGGTAACCCCAAAATGGAATCCAGGTAAAGCGAAACGTGGACTAAAACCTGCGGTTTTCTGGTGGTTTAATTTTGACCCATACCCAGATTCCAAAGGCCGCTGCAAACTCCTTGCCAGCTTGTGGTTGATTTGGGGTAAGACCATAGTTGATTAGGGTACAACCTTAGGGGTACACAAAGTTATGACAAAACTTCAGTCCTGCCCGTTGCCAATGTCTGAGCGGCGCGCATTGGATTTCTCCAAGTTGAGCCCGTGTTCAGGGACACCGCTTGGCCTGGAGGTCCGGTCCAGCAATGCGTCGCAGACCATTGGTTCTTGGTTGACGTTGGAAGGGGAGCCAAAAATTAAACTTTAGCAGTTAAGTGGGGAATCCCACTAGACCACAATAAGCAAAAATGCAAAATGTTTCCCAACAATGGATTCTTGGCAAAAAGGCCACCGTGTAGTTTTTAGGTCATGCGTGGCCAAACCTAAACTGCAAGCGAGCGACCAGCATCGCAGGGGTTTCCTTTGAGATTGTTGGGTGTGTCTCAAAATGGGGGGAAGTTCGGAACCCGCACGTTGGTTTCAATTCCCCCCGTTTACAACCCAAAAAGGGCAGCATCAAAATACATGCACCCACGTGTCAAGCGACAAGCACATGGCACACCTGGCCTTTGGCAAAGGCGCCCTGTACACAGTCAGGAGCTACACTTTTGGCAGCGATAAGCTCAGCTGGTGCTAGCTTGAGCCCGGATCATGCCGTCGCGGCACCAGAAATGGGCTTTGTCGGATGTCAACCCCCCCCCCCCTCCCCCAATGGGTGGGCTCCTGATGGCTTCCCCCTGAAAACCACACCATAAGAAATCGAGCACAGTGCCAAATCCGTGCAAATCAGGTTGCGCAGGTACTACCGACACAGAAGAAACGAAAAAGGGCTGGCCCAGCTGCCTGTTACCACCCACTTCTTCAAGGCTATAGCTTCGTTCGTTGCGCATGATGTCTCTTTTTTTGTGGAAAACCCCCCTGTTTCTGTCGGAGGTTTTGTTAACACCCCCAGTTTGTGTGTCGGAGGTTCCGTTCCCCAGTGGCCATGAGTGGGGCTTTGGATTGAATCCCCACCTGCTCCGCCACAGCCGCCATGGCCTCCCGCTCCGCAACCACCGTGGCCTCCAAGCCATGGGCCATTGGGTTTGGCTCATGGACCAACTGGGCGGATTCCTGGTAAGACACTCCTTGAGCTTCAGAAAGAATAGACACACACTCACAGCCATATCAGCTTCCAAGAGGTGGTTTGGTCCAAATCCTGGTTATGGTGGGGGCAAATATGGGTTCATTTTCTAGTGGTGTTTTCTTCGGGGTTTCAGTACATTGACCTTGTCGACCTAGATGGAATCTTTAAAGATTTCTGACCAGTTGTTTTTAGTCATCGCCTTTCCTTTCCCGCAACGGAATTGTGCCATCTAGATTCACCTGGTGTAGACGGGGTTTCTCCAAAGAGGAAACCGCTGAATAACTAATATTGACCTTGTTGACCTCATAGCTTAAAATGAGCTGTCACGAATTGGTCCGTTGGTTTTCTTCGAACAATGACAAAGGTTTGCGTATTCGATGCACATTGGCTCAGGAGCACTCGTTAATGAACTGCATTTCTAGGCTGCTCCACTCAATTCTAGCAGCTTCTTTCCTCTCTGACGTAGTTGGATTTGTCGACCGGCAACTATGCTGTAGGCGACTCGGGGGGAAATATATCACGCAGTGGCGCAACTCAAAAACTTCCAAAAGCGCAAAAGCAGCCGTGCCTTGCCGGCTCGCAATAAGCGCAATGAGGTTGCAAAGCAAATTTGACCGTGCTAATACGTAACTAGCGGCAGGGCTACTAGGCAGGTGCGCGCGTGCTGCACTAGGTGCACCAAATGCCAGTGGCCGATGCTACTCACCACTTGCAACACCCGCTACAGGGCAAGCTTCTTCCCTCCCCTCGTGGGCGTACGCATCACATGCAAGAGGTATTTGTAGTGTGACGCGAAGCGAAAGCTTGGGGAAGATGAGAGTTTTTGTCCCTTCTTGCGATTAAGTAACAACTGTTCGCGAACGCGGCTGCATGCGGTGCACGGTGTTTTATTTTGCTTGTCACGTGTTGACTGCCCACGTGATTCCATACTCCCATCCGGCAGGATGTCATAGTATGACACTCAGGTAACGGCAGCGCCAAATTACTCATCCCGGGAGGTTTGTCTTTTCTTGGAGTTGAGGCGTTCTTGTGGCGGGGCCAACGCGCACCGGATCACTTCAACAACTTGCATGAGCGGCCCAAATGCTAGCAAGCATGGGTGGCCGGCCACCGACTAGGTTTGGCAGTCGCGCTTGTTTTACATCCTTCTGCGGTTAAACCGTGGAGTGGTTTTTCCGGGCTCCGAAAGGGCCTTCTTTTGTGTGGATCGAGCTCTGAAGTGTTACCGCCCTATGGGCCTTTTGCGTTTTACCCCGACAATGTTCCACCGTTTTAGGGGTTGTTAGGTCGCCCTATGGGCCCCCTGGCAACTCGGAGCGTTTGCTGAACGACTCGGGGGGAAAAAAACTGCTCCACACAATTCTACGCAGCGGAAGTTTCTGGCTCACGGCCAAGCCCTCATTTGCCAGATGTTCCACCGATCGAAGCTGAGCGCTTGCCTCATTCAGCTCTGTGACCATGTCAGCTTCTCGCTTCAGCTTTCTTTGCTCCCTGGATTCCAAGTCACGGTTTCGGCCAGGGAGGCAGCGGATTCTGCGTCCCTTGAAAGCTTTCATCCAATTCGGAGGGAAATGTGAGAGGATGTCACTTGATTTGACCCAAATCATCCCAATTCTGCTACAATCATGTCTGATGATCTAATTATTACCTACAACTCTCTCCAAGCACTTCATGTTTCCCACAGACTCTCAGACCCTGGTTTGCAACCAAGTGGCCATGGGAAACAAGCGGCACCCCTTCAAAAATGCAAACCAGAAACAAGGGACACCATGGTGTCTGGGAAGGTGCAGGCCTCACATGTGCATCCCACTTCTCTTGCTCCTCCTGGCAGAGCAAACCTCACCCGATCGATGAAGCAAACAAAACGAGCTCTACGACTTTCGTTGAGATCCTCTTTTAGAGAGGGCGCGTGCGTGGCCGGGCTTCACCCGGACCATATGTTTCAAGGCTTCCGTCAAACACAGCAAATCCGACAAACTGTCCCAACCCGCTGTGCCGAGGTTTTTTGTTGCAAAGCGATTTTGGTCCAAATCGTCCTCCGTCTTCTCGATCTCTTTCTCCCACTCCTGGCGCTGGGTTCGCCGCTTCGCCCGCCGGAGCCCAGCACCCGCCTTGTTGGCAGGCTCCCGGAAGCGCCCCTCTTTGAAGGCGGTGATGGCGTCCTCGTCAAAAAGAAAAAAGAAAAAAGAGGAACTGATTGGGAACGGAGATGGGTCATGGATTAACATGAGCTTCGGCTTGTTGAAGTGGTTGTGTCTTCAAAGCAACCCGAAAAGGAAGGCTCTGCGTGTGTGCAGACCGTTTTGGGCAAGTTCGTCAGAATCTAGGGGCTCACGCTCGCACGCGCAAACGCATACAGACACACGGTAACTTACTGGCTGGCTGGCTGGCTGCCTGCCTGGCTGACTGACTGACTGACTGACGGCTGGCTGGCTGGCTGGCTGTCTGTCTGGCTGGTTTCAGCAGCCAAAAAGAGTACCCTCAAAAAAACACGCACCCAATTGTTGGTCTTCCTGTAGAAGGGCACCTTTGAGGCCACATGGAAATCTTGAGTATTCTGGGTTCCCCCTCCTTTTGGAATGTCTGCCAAACAAGGGCGTGCTCAAGCCTTGGCGGTTCGTTCCCTTGCTAAAAAATCAGACTATGTGTGGGAGCTGTCATGATTCCCTCTACATTCAAGGCTCAAAGTCCATAGCTTGCAATTCACAATGGCCTTGCTTAACCTCTATTTTTCCGAACTTCCACATGGGTGTCTCCCCTAAAATAGGAATCGGATCTGAAAAACGGGCGGGTTGTCTTTTCGGTTTCCCTTTCAAACAACCCCCGTACTCTTCGCCTCAAAACAGCGAGAAATCCACACCCTCGTCAATCTTCAGCACCTTTCCGGGTTCCCACCCATAGCTGGTAACTCAGCAATACCCCCTTATATACTCACTTCCGGAGCGGACTGGCCGGAAAAAAAGACGAAAATGGCCCTCCCCCAAAAAGCAACAGTCCAGGAACTCAGGGAGTGAGGTATGAGTGGAACGAACGAACTGCAAAACCTCTCCCTGAACATGGGCTCGATTCCCCGCCTCCCACTGCCGCAGGCCGCGGTGTGCCTGTCCCAGCCTGAAGTAGACCTTTGCCAGGGCGGTTTGGGTGCCCTCCCACCTTGCGTAACCTTTGGGTTTGTGCAAGGCCAACTAAAGAGGAAAAAGTCGTCTTTCAGGGGTCTCTGCACAAACCCATGTTTGGTGGGAGGGTACCCAAACCATTGTACCGTTGGGCTCTTCACTGTGCAACAGAGCAACCCTGTTAATGAGGAACGAATCCCCCTCCCAAACAATGTGTGTGTGTTCTTGCAGGAAAACTACCCCTTGTTGGGGTTTTCCTTTGGATGCATTGTGTGCTGTCTGCGTGTTTAAAACACAAGCCGCGTTTTTGAAAAAACAAAACTGGGCCGGGCTTTGTTAGAAAAAAACACACACCTTTTTTTGTTCTTTCTCTTTTGGGCCCGGGGGCGGGGTCCGACCTTTGCACCGATGCCCAGGCGTCCCGACCTTGGACCACTCCGGCTTCAAAGTGGCGCACTTCTTCGCGTCCGCCAAGGCCTGAGCTTCCCTTCGAGAGAGAGGGTGCCGGGGTTTTTCAGAACCCATGAGATAGAGAACAAATATGTAATCTGGGTGAATAATAATATTTAAACCTGAAACTTAAGGTGGTTGGGGGGCTATTCCCCACATAAACCACCATTTGGGGTGAGGTCGTGTGAGGTCGCTATAATTCGCCAAGATATAATAGAGGTACCACATGTGCAAAGCAAAAAAAAAAAACTACTAGATAGTGTATCTTACATGATTAATTCTGAGTATCTAGCATTAACAGCTGTATGCACTTTTGCTTTCTATTTTTGCATAAATGAATCCCAGCACTCCCCAAAGATGTACCTCAAACTTAAGCGCGACAACTGGTTGTGGGTCAAAGAAAACCACCCGGGGACCGCCAGCACTGCCCAAAGATGTACCTCGAACTTAAGCGAAACAAGTCTCTGTACAGTGGCCCAACAAATGAGAGATATTCACAGCCTAGCCTGAACTCGCGGTTTTGATGGCTCAGACAACGACTGGTTGTGGGTCCAAATGAAACCACCAGGGATCGGACCGCAGGTTGAAATGTCCATGTTTTTGCATTTACCAGGGCAACCCATTTTGGGTTACCCTATTTTTGACAACCACAGCCAACTCTCTTTACACTGGCACACATGGATCGATATTCAAAACCTAGCCTTCACGCGGTCTTGATGGCTCAAACATGCATCACACAACTTGCCTTGTCGAACTTCTTCAGCTTGACGTAGCAGGCGGATCGATTGGAGTAGAGCCTTAGAGACCACCGTGAAGAACCATGGGCCAATGGGTGGTACCCTTCCTCCAACTAACATGGCACCTGTGGGGAGGTACCTGGAAGATTAACTTCCTTTTGAAGGGACCCCCTGTCAGTTGCCATGTTAGTGGGAGGGAGGGTAACCAAAACCTTTCTGCTGGAATCGAAAGGGAACCGAAAGGACACCAGCCGGGTAGGGATTTGGGGATTTGGGGATTTGGACATGCAGTTTCTTTACTGGCTCACACTGCTCTGGCGGAGCAATGCGGGCCTCCACAGATCCGGGAGCAGAATGAAGATCTGAGCCATGGTCAATCCTGAGGGTCCTGGCCTCTGTGGATGATTTACCATCCCCAGTACAGTGTGAAAGCAGATGGCGAATTTGATTCCCCATCATCTTGACTAAATCCCCGAAACGCTTACCTACCAGGGCATTGTGCCAGCTGCTTCCACCCGGGCGTAATAACAGCCACCAGAAGGATACAGTCTAAGTTCCCTACCGAAGGGTGCATGATCACATGCTCAGGGCCACGCTTCTCGTCCTCCGGTGTGTGGCCCATGGCTCGCGCGTAGTACACCTTAAACAGCTGGGTCGAAAATGCTTGAAGTCTTTGTTGCATGCTCCCTTAAGACACCCCAAGAGCTGTTCTATGATTCCGAAATTCTGCACGAGTCCCTTCCGCTTCTTCCTCTTGATCATATCTCTAGCCCCCACCTTCACGGTTCTCACTTCTGCAACCTAGAATTCCAGAATGCAGCTGGAAGAACAATTAGAAAAACATGCGAATCATATCCTTCACCAGAATTACAGGGCAACATACTGGTTCTGTCGAATCACCTTACACCCACACACATGCATCAAAGACATGTAAGACATACTCTAAAACGAAAAGACAAGCACAACGTGAATCATAAATTGATAGTGCGAGAATGCTAAAATCATGTGTTTTTTTTTTCAAATTGTCAAAAGAGAAGACAAAAGGAATCATAAGTGAAGGAAAACCATAATCTGGTGAACTGTCGGCATTGTATAGCGGCATTGGATGAAGGAAGTCATTCGCACAAGTTAATTCACTAGGATCTGGAAGATAGAACGCTTCCCTAAAGTTGGAAAAGCTAATAGATGAAACGATGTCCAAAAGAAGGAAACAAATAACCAGCTTCAGAAACTGGGAAACTTCCAAAAAGAAGGAAACCCACTCATAATAAGACTTCATGTCGTGTAGTACGTTCTCTTAAATTCCTAGACCAACTATGAAAACTGTAGATACATAGTACACTCAGATGAAATAATTAAACAGGGTAACTAATGAAGTAAGTTCCAGTCGAACAATAAATATTAAATCCTGCCAAGGTAAAAAGGAACAACAGCAGCATGAGTAAACATTCATAAGGGATATACGAATAGTAGAACAAGATTAGTCTAAATGCAAGGACACCCAAAAGAAAAGAGCTCTAAAAATAACATATCAACTCATAAAGAACACACTATGCAACTCAAACATATTTTTTTGGTAAAAGCAGTTAAAGGTAAGATGTCAAACATTATCTGTGTGTGCTCTAAATTCCATGTCCGGTATCACTTCTCAGTCTTGAATAATCATATGTTCGTTATTTTGATATATATTTTACCATCTTGCACTTCATGAAATTACCTTGTTATTCATGTCTATACTAGTAATATACGGAATTACGTTTTCATTTCCAAACGTCACTTCTTTAATTCACATGTGCGAACGAGAGAGGTGGCCTAACTTCCAGGATCTAACAGAGTAATCCCTGCGAAGCCTTCCAACCCAAACCGCCAAGACCGAGCGGCGGCCGCGTCCCTCCATGCGGAGTTCCTGAAGCAGCCGTCGGCCTCCCGGAAAGAGAATTGCGCGGGCAGTCTCGTGCGTTGTCTCGCCTTGCTTCTAATTGGTGATTTGGTGTTTAGCTTCAAAGCGAGCGGGGTTCAAATCCCCAAACCACTCCAAAGCACCAACTAAGGGGTACCTGATTGTCTGAAACCTTTTTTCCATGGCCCTTTCAAGATCCAATGTATCCCCTGCCCCAAACAAATCCGCTGATCGAGGCATTCCTTTCAGCTGACCACACGAAACTCCGCTCGCTCGCCTTCGCCTTAAACTCTTTGGCCAGCTCCTGGCGGGCTTTTTGGCCGCGAATTGGTACGTGTCATAGGGAGTTGGACCGATTCCCAAAATGGGCGGGGGTATCATTTTGGTGTTTTTCTCGAAACAGGTTGGTTTAGGAGTCCGCCTGTTTTGGCACACACGCACAAATATGAGTGTGCACCAACATTGTGAGGGTACCATTTTCGGGTTTGTCTAAAGAGAAACCTTGAGGAAAGCCAGCATTTCGGGAAATCCCATGTTGTGGCACATGCCCAAATCAAACTCAGTCAACCACCTACCATGGTTGTCACCTGAGAGGCTAGGTGGGCGGGGTGCGACCACAAACCAATTCCAAGAGTACCCTCTGAACCCGCATTTGGTTGGCCCCCTATTTTCAGACGCATCCGGACTGACCAACTCCCGGGTATCCAAGTTGCGCAGGAAACCCGGCCCCCCACTACCGTCCTGCGGGGACCAGCCACTGCGGTCCGGGGAAGGAGCGCGGAGGGCCTTCGCAGAAAGCTCCTGAGAAGCCGTCGGAGCCACGAGCTCCAAGCGAGTTTCCCTTTTGTCTTGGTGAGCCAAACAAAAGGAAGACCACCACTTTTAGGGGCCCCGTTATGTTGAGTATGGGTGTGCTTCGGTTTTCATGTCAGTTTCCCTTTCAGCCAAGCTTTAAAAAGTGTAGCCTCAAAACCTGCCCGTATGCCTTTGGACATGGGGTCCATGGGAAAATGCCAACACTTCTGGAACTTCCCCAAAGGGAAAGCAATCTGAAGCCCTCCTGCTAGCCTCCATGGCCTCTTGATTGAAGGGAAACCGAGAGGAAACCTCAAACAAATCCAAACCACAAACCCACAAACTTACGACACCTCAGGGCAAAAGCGCTGCTCTGACACCCCCCCCCCCCTCCCTTTTTTCTCTGCCCTGAAGGCAGTCTGCGACGCGCTCATTGATGTTATGATGCATCTAATTAATCTTTGGGGGCCCGTTTTCCCCTTTAAAACATCACCCTGCCAAGAGGAAACTCACCTGCCCAAAGACGCGATGTCGAGAACCCCACGCCCAAATATGGTATGGAATCCCTTTAAACCAATGACTGAGGCCCAACAGGGGACCTAAAAGCTACAAACAGTGAGTGCGCAAGCGGTTGATTTCTTGAAACCAACCAAGAAGGTTACCCTCAGACCTGTCGCTCTGCCCCCGCTCCCTCCTCAATGGCAGGTGCCGCCTCTCTCTCCAGCACCTGCCTCGCGCGCTCGCGAGCGAGGCGTGCGGAAGCGCAGAAGCCGCGGGCGGGTTCAAGCCGGGTGTTCACTGAAGGTGGCTGCGGAAAACCCGAAATCTGTTGTACCAAAGCTGGCCAGACGACATTGCTGGCAGTTGCTTAATAGCTGCTCAAAATGGAGCGTCGGCCAATCCCTATCCATCTGGAAAGCCACAAAGGGCGCAGCCCAGAAGGGCGGGGAACTTGATGCGTGGGTGCCCTTTGGTTTTCCTGGTTTCACCACAGAACCTCATGGAAAACCTGCCCTTTGGACCATTTGATCGGAACATCGGATGGCTCGAAGACCTGCGAGACGCGCGAAACCAAGTTGCCCTTCAGCATCCTACCCGTTTTGCCTGGGAAAGAGAAACTGGTGCCAGACAAAATCATGGGGTACCCCCCGTGCCATGGACACTTAGAGTATATGTTGAGGCCAAGAACCCTAAAGAAAGCAAATACCCGCTGCAAAATAGACCCTAAGTGTCCACCACAAGGGTACCCCCCCCCCCTCCCGCTCGAGATGGTGCCTTCAGGTTCCCCAAACCTACGCCGCCCAGGAATCCCCGAGTGCTGATTACAAGTCTCCTGGGCTGTGGTGTTGGGCTGTGGTGTTGGGCATTGCCTGCTAGCGACAGGCAAGCAATTGCCGTTGATGCCCTGTGTGGAGAAGACCTTGTCCAATTCCCACGGACGAATTGGGGGCACGCTCTTCGCAGTTGCTCAAATGGGTGGGGTTGTGGTTTTAAGGGTAACTTTAAAGGAAACGAAGAGGAAACTACCCATCACACGACCAAGGCGGTTTGCCTCCAACTTGGGAACCCTCGCTAAATTGGTGGCTTAATTTCCCTGTGAAGCAGGGTACGTTTGCCATTAAGTCAGGAGAAGAATGGTCCCGGAACAAGTTTCGGTAAAACAACCCCAATGGAACAGTTTTCTAGAGACCGGGTATATAGACTTCCAGTGGGCAACTTTCAGCGCCACGTGAAACGCAAAATGCTCCTACCCAAACTTTCCCAAACCGTGTAAAGAATTAGAAGAGCTTCTTGCCGCACCTCTTTATGGTTGGGATTCACGCATTCTATCCGCATTCTATCAGCAGTCTCTTGGGTGAGCGGATCGGGGGTGTCCCCGAAATGACTCCAGAAAACAAACAAGATTCAATGGACACCACCCGTGGGTTGTTTTCTATCCCAGTGACCAGTCCAGTGGATGACCATCCACTCTTCCTTTTGGTTGAAGGGTGGTTCCCTTATCGAATTCCAGGTAAATGAAATCGCTGGGTATCTCCTACCTAAGCAGAAGCGAAAATTGGGGCACTTCACTTCTTTTTTGGTTCTTATCCCCTGCCTAAGCAAACCCATGAAAAAAGAGGGCACTTCACTTCGTGTTTTTTTGGATTCTTAAAGAGAACCCCCTCCAATCCTATTTGGAGGTCTAGGGTTTGGTGGGCTCGCTCTACGAGCCCGGCTCGTGCTCTTCCAGCAAGCGAGGCCTCACAAAAGCCGCGCGGTTTAGAGGCTGAACGAGCGCCAGGCTGTTGCCGTATCAGCTTCCCTCTTGGTCTGGGGCCCGGTGGCAAAGTGTTCCGTAAGTTTCACGTTTACTCTGGCTGAATGATGTTTTGCATGGGGAAGGACAACCGCCCCCATCTTTCGAGGGTCCCGTGACAAATCCGCACAGCAAAAAGATCGCCACGTTCCTTCCAGCCCTGCCCCATCAATGCAATAGAACCAAGGAACGGAACCCACAAAGCAACCAACCAGCCACTAGAACAACAGCAACCCAAAGCCTCGCGCATGACTTTCCTCAGCCCAGAGAATTGAGCGAGCGCGCCAGTGCGTCTTGGAGGGCTTCTCTTTGGTCAAGGTCACCTGGCGCCCATAGCCCTTGGCCAATACTGAGAGGTCCAAGAATGTGCCCCCCCCCCCCGCCCCAAAAAAACAACAGTGCCATCAAAATCCATCGGAGAAAAAAAACGCATGGTTTGGGTGACCGTTGATCCCCCCCGAAAAACGTCACTAGTCACTCTTAGGTTGCAAATGGCTTTTCTTGCTATGGATCTGAATCAGCATGTGGCCTTGTGTACATGATCCCAGGCGTGCTGATGTCGTACCCCCTTTCGGGTTCCAAAAACTGGTATACTACTCCGCAAGTCGGGCAAGAAGCCAAGGGATATGACCCCACCTGCAGGCAGGTGTTGTAGACTCCAACCCTGGCTGACCTTGGATTGATCGTGCTTCAGGGCGCATGTCCGGCGACGTACGCATCGCAATGCTTCAATTGATCCACCCACAAGACGCGGTACATTAGACTGGGTTTTCCCAGCAGTTCCAACCGCTTGCAATATTTTGGGCAACCTCACTGACTGACTTGTTTTTTGCGCACGCGACAATTTCTCTGAGAGGCCAGCTCTTCATCTGGGAGAGCAGCAGCCTGCAAGTCATGCAGGCGAAGGGAAAAGGAGGGGGGCCCTGCTTCTTGTGGGCCCATTCTACCAAAAGGTCAAAAGAATAAAGACGGGTTCGGGGTGGGACAAACAGGTTTCCCCGACCTTCCAAACTGACTTACTCACCACGTTTTGTGCATCCATGATCTGCTCATTGGCGAACCAAACAAGGGCCACCCTTCAAAGTTCGGCTGATCAATCCGCCAACCTCAAAGCCAGCGAGCCATGGACGCCTGTAAGGGCGCATTTGCTTTGTTCGACTGGCTCCGTTTGTGTCAAATTCAACACCCGGCATTGACTTTTCCACCCAAACCAATGTAAAGAATTCAAAGGGCGGCTTTTGACACGCCCTGCCATGGTTCGGCTTGTCCCCCTTCACCTGCCCACGCCCTTTTTGCCCAAGGCGGAACCCCTTCTGCCTTGACAATCTCCCAGCGCGTCTTGTCAGGGACGATCTGGTCGAACAGCTGCCCCTGCCAATGGGGTTCCCCAAACCAACCGCGGCCGCTTTCAAGGCAATCAGGCGATGAAGGCTTGGCACCCATCCGGCGGGAAAAGGCAGGCCCCTAAAAGATGTTTTCTGCCAGAAGAGGTCGGTTCACGTCGAGGTTCTCTGGCTCACAGGGAAAAAAAAACTGCCACGCGACTCCACGGAAGGGGGGGGCCGCTGCAGCTGTGCCTTCGGGTGATTCGACTGGGGGGAGCCGCAAAATGGGATGGTCATGGGTTCCCTGTCAACCAGCCCCACCTGTTCTGGATCTCTAGGATCGCTCACTCAACTCGCGGCAGCAGCGCCATCAAAATCGGAGACTTCTCGTCGCCCCTGATGAAAATCTTCAGATACCTTCAAATGAACGCGCTTTGAACGTAAGTCACCTGCAAATCCGAATGCATGAACATGAGAGAGAAGCCCCTCGTGCCCTTCCCCCCGAACCTTATGCGTTTTCTGGGCATCTTACCTAGATCCCACTCAAAGGATACTCACCTATGGGTGTGAAGGGCGATGTTTCAAGGCCCCCTATGGATCTTAAAGGAGTTTCATTCAGCCCATGAGCGCACTGCTCCATCACATCCACCCCGAAAAGGTCCGACATGCTGACCGTTTCGCACGCCTGGCGTGTGACGAGAACGAACGCCGAATCACGGTGACCGAGCTCCGGCATGTCTCACCGTGCCCATTCGGGGAGTTTGGCAAGTCGGTGGCCAGTGAATGGTTGCCATTGAATACCCCCATGCATGGCGAACTGACGCAAACCAGCGGAACATCTCAGAGACTCTCCGCAACTTCTGCCATGGATGTGTCCAGCGTGGCCCAGAAAGGCATTGGGCCACAGAGTGTCTTCGGACACTCCCCCTTTGAACCCACGTAAAGTAAGGGTACCCTCAAGAAGAGACGAACCCGCATATCTCCAAGTAATCCGGCTGTTCTTTACTACCATGGGCGACAAGTCATTCCGAAAGGAAATACCGCTCGCAATGCTCCAAAGCTGAGGGTTGGGAGCCATGGGATTGGACGGCACCCAACTGGCCGCCTTCTCCAAGGCCGCCTTGTCCAAATGAATGCGGTAGATGGCAGTAGATGCATCCTCGGGCGAAAAGATGCGAAGGGAAAAAATGGAAGGGATCCCCTACTCATGAGGAGGTTTGGCTCTCAAAAGGAAAGTGTGAGCCTTTCTTGACAGCCATGCTGAAGCAAAGCAACCCAAGTGGCCCGCTTGAGCCATAGGCTTCCACTACTCCGCGTGGATGTTTCTCAATTCCCAAATTGAGCTTCGCTTTCCCTTTGGTTTCCTTTCAAACACTCGAAACTGGGCACCTTGGCCTCCCTGCTTGCCCGTCTTCCAAGGCTGCACACAGATCCTCCCGTCGCATGACGAAGCCGTCCTGGCCAGGAGATCTGGAGAAACCGGCCACGTGTTTGGTGTACTTCCGGTTCCCCGCTGTCAAAACGGAAGCGGAACTCTGTCTTTTGGACGATGTTGATGGGGCGCCAACACGAAACCCTTGTCAAATATGGGTATGGGTCAAAATTCACCCGCCAGGAATCGGACCACAGGATGAATCGTCCTTGTTTCCATTCACCGATCGGGCAAGCCATTTTGGGTTTCCCCCATTTTGACCACCACACCGCCATATGGGTGGCTCAAAATCTTAAACAGGAGGGGCTGGCAAACCGCAGGTCTTCCATGCTAACCCACTTACCAGGGCAGGTTTTGAGCCACGGCCATCGGCCCTGGAGGACCCAAAGGGCTGCACAAACCCCCGCCTGCCGTGCACGGCGGCCAGGCTTCACCTGCGAACCCATGTCCCAAATGGAAAAGGTGCCCAAAATGGGTCGTTTCCCTGCGGTCCCATCACCCCCCCCCCCCAAAACAAAAAAAAAGAAAAAGAAAGAAAAACACAGCCAAACGGACATACTGTGGATTTCGAAAACCCAGTCCCAGTGGGGACTAATAGTTTATCCCAATCGTAAGGTTTTATAGCTGTAAATCGGCTGTGCAAGGGTTCTACGATCCAGAGTAAGCACATTCCAAACAGCACATCTTTACGCATGGCTTTGTTCGGGCGGTTGGTATGCTCGTTTCAGGTAAGGAAGTACCGTCCGGACAAAGCTGTGCCAACTATCGCTGCAACCTCCCAACTTTCTCTCTGGTTCTACATCATGGTTTCCTGGAGATACCAGTGCTCGCTGAATCCACGTAGGACATGAGAACGCTTCGAATAAGGCTGGCATCTAATGTTCCCCTTGTCCATTTGGGGTTGTCTTAAAGGGAAGCCGACAGGAAGCTGCCCATTTATCTGTGCTTTTTTGTCAGGACAAACCCAAATGCCTGTCCAGGGATTCTCTTGCAACCCTCTGAGTTCACGGAGGATGGCACCCAAAACCCCATGTCTATCCACGTTCGTCAATGCTCACGGACGTGATAAGCTTATCGCGATTCACTAGGGGGCAGGTTCCGCCCCAAGTGATCCGGATCCCCAAAACGAAGCTGTCATCAATCAACCTCAACCAAGGAAGTTCAACTAGTTGCCTTCCCATTGCTCCTTCCTTCCCCTCCTTTTCGATGGCTTCCGCCAAGTAGAAGGTACATGCGCCAATCTCCCTTGAAAAAATGGTTTGCGGAGAAAACATGGTAAATCACAGTAAATCAAAAGGATTTAGAAGGTTTCCTTGTTCCTGTACTTGTAGCATTTCCGGTTTTCTCAGAATTAGGGTCTCCTCGTGCTTGGTGTCCTCTTGATTGTATTCCCAACCATCCCAAAAGCAGCTCCCCTTTGCAGACCTATCTGGGTGAATTATGATAAAGCACCAACCTGAAATAAGGTGCTTGAAGAGCTATTCCCCACATCAACCACCATTTGGGGTGAGGTCGTGCGAGGTCGTTAAAATTCACCCAGACCTATGGGGCCGCCCTCCAAACCTCCGGCCGCCGCCGATGACCGAAGCTCCGCGTCCGCATCGCCCGCCTTGGCCAAGATGTCCTCGGCCTTCTTCACGGGTGCCCGGGCGTGCGGCGTCCAGCCGAAGTGGCTCTTGCGGGTGTGGCTCATGCCAGGCTTCCAGACCTGGGGCCGCTCTGGGCGGGGGCCGCAGATATGGAGATGAAGGAAATGCGTGTAGGTTTTTGGTGTAGAAATCTGTACAAACATGATGTGCACATATCAGAACTGTGTTCACCTACCCCTATACAGCTATGTTGTGGCGGCTTGAAGGCTCGACCACCACTTCGAGTGTCGATTCGCAAGCGGTCTTTGCTGGCCTCCGATTCGCTCGAATCAATTTTTCCGCCAAACCGTGCTCAATCATCCGAATTCTTCCAACAAGAGCGCTGCATGGGGAGAAGAGCGAGAGCCGGGGTTCCTGGTAGCTTCGGCTTCGACCAGTCGACAGCCCCTGGGGCTGGCCTAAGCTTAGGCCCGAGCCGCGTTCCAGGCCTCGCAAGCGGAAGGAAGGCGGTCACTGGGAATGGGGGGGCATTAAAAACCCCATAGATTCCCCTGGTTCGTTGGGGTTTGGAGACGAAATCCAGAAAACGGATTTCAGTCGGATGGATGACACCCCATAAATGGGACAAACCACCTACCAACTGGTGTGGACATTTGTCCATCCATTGTAGTTTCTGCCAGTGTTCTGGGTTGTTGAAAACGGGGGGGGGGCACGTAGTGGCACGCCACTGCAAGGCAATGAACAACTGGTTTTCCTTTGAGTCCCCAAAATGAAGTCGCGGCGTTGGGAGAATTCTGCAATCGCAACCCTGCGTCCTCCGTAAGCCCCCGATCGGACCCTTAGGATGGAAGGAATCAGGCCTTTTGCACTCGAAGCCCCCAATCCTTGCCAAAATCTCTAGGCACGTCTCAAGCAACTTTCGGAGATATGAGCTCTGTCCGCGTAACAAAGCGCCCCTGGCCAAAAGACCTCCCGCCTTGTGGTCGCGCTTGGCCAGCTCTATGCTAAAGAGCTTGCTGCCGTCGGCCTCGCCACTATCCAGCCGAGCCGCACGCAATCTCTCTCTTTTTTTTCTCACGAGGACATGCAAAACATGGGTGGGCCCTCGATTTTGGCGTGGGCCCCAACACCCACACTCAATGCCATGAGGAAGTTGGTTGGTCCTTATCGGTGTTCAGTGCTTTCAGGTTAAAAAGGAGGTATCAATTTTGGGCAGTCCCCTATCGGTAGACTGCCAATGATTTTGTCAAATACTCATATGGGCATCGATTTTGATTGGGGACCCTTTGGTGAGAATTCGGTGGGGATTCATGTCCACAAACTACTCTTGAGGTGGTTCTACATTGAAATTCATACCCGGCTGAGAGGTCAACAGTCCCCATGCAGAAGTGGTACCTTGGCACCTTGGATGCTGGCTGCTTGCTTAACCCAAATTGGGGGTGGCTTGTTGGATTGAAGTTGCTTGCCAAGAACCACCTAAACCAAGGGAGGAGCCCAAGGGCTGCTGCCTTCTCAGTCCAAAAAATCAGGGGACCCGGGACTGGGTGTGTCTCTTAAAGCGGAAGCGGGCGCTTCGCCTTCGATGCGAGACTCGGCAATGGCGCCCCTAGTCGCTTGGTCTTTTGGTCGGCTTCCTGGACATGGGATCCATTGCTAGGTTCGCTTGGTTCTTTAAATCAAATCCCCACCTGGTCCTCGAGAGTCCACCAGGATAAGCTACGACGGACGTCTCCGTACCTGAACAAAGGGCCCCGTTTCCTATCAGTCGCCCCAAAAAGCGTCCTTGCCTCACTTCCTGAGTGGATTGGCAAAAAAAGTCAGACTTCCACTACAATGGTCTTCCCAAAAAGTCCAAAAAGTGCATGAACTCAAGAAGTGAGTTGCTCATCTGCATCTTCACATGGTGGGCAGAATCTCTACTTCCGTTGCTTACTACCTCCGGAACAACCCAGCTGAATAGATCTGCTGGGTTTAAGAACAGCCAGATTGCACGCAGAGCGTCGCCTTCAAACGTAGTGTTGTGCAAAGAGCTATCCAGCCGCAGGAGCTCATGCCCTATTTACTTCCCTTGTAGCTAAGTGGAAAGACTTTGGCCTTCTGGGTTGTTGTCATGTGCTCGATTGTTTTCGCTCAGGATCATACATGTGCCGAGACATCTGATGGGACATTTGCCGACTGGAGAAAGCATCCAGCCGGACAGCAGGAAAGTCAGTGGTGCAGTCAATGCACAGTGACATCGGCGAATGGCCGAAAGGCGATATGGGCGACAACGAGAAGAGCGAAGGCGGGTCAGTGGGGAGACAAGCGGGGCTGACAATCTGAGAGAACAACAATAGAGCAGAGAGCAAAGTTTGGAAAAGAAGAACGGTCGGGAAAGCGCGGGCAGAACACCCAGTAGCAAAGCGAAAACAGTAGAGAGACGGGCGAGCAGAAATCTAGCGAGAGCAGGGAATGAGACAGGGCGATAATCTGATCTTAGGCGAGGCGATCAATTTCCTTTAGACAATTTCCTATATTTTTGGTCGTATATTGACATGTAAGTATCGTTATATTACTCTGGGTGAATTATAATATTTCACCAACCTGAAATAAGGTGATTGGGGGAATATTCCCCACATACGCCACCATTTGGGGTGAGGTCGTGTGAGGTCGTTATAATTCAGCCCAGATTATTGTCGGCAAGGTATTAATATGTTTTTCACTGTATATCTTGTCTTATGTCCCCCACCCCCCCCCCACCCCAAACAAACAGAAAAAAGAAAAGAACAAACAACAAGAAACACAGGTTGTCTTTTCCCTGTGGCCTCCTCTTAAACCGTAAAAAGGGTATATCAACAGACACAAACAAACAAACAAACGAACAAACACACCAACGCGCCCCCCCCCTCCCCCCCCCCTCCCCCCCGCGCGCGCGTTTGTTGAGGGCCAGGCAGACTGCCGTTGAGGGGCGCCAAAGAACCGTCCAGGTCGGGCTTGTTGGCCTGTCACAAGACAACTCCTGTCCCACCCAAGCCTGAGGTCCCTCTTGAACTTTCTCAAGAAAACTATCTCTTTGACATCTGAGGGGCAAGAAATCTAAGGTTTGTGTTTGTTGGAGTAAAAACAAACATGTCTGACATCTGATGGGTAATGGCACAAGGCCCAATCCACACACTCTGGTGGATTCCATGCTAGTTGGTGGGAGGGACCCCAATCGACATGGAATCTCGAGTTGATACTATCTTGCCCACCGCGGATGGACAAACTCCAGCATCAGTTTGGCACGCAAAAAACATGTGGACATGCATGGGAGGTTGTCCATCTACAGTATGAGTCAGGCAGTTGCTTTCCTCTAAACTTGCGGTGGACAAAATCAGGGGTGTGCGTGTATGTGTGTGTGTGTGCTGGTGTCAACACTGGGGAAACCCAAAAAAATGTTTTTTTTCCTCTTGGCTTCCCCTCTAAACCAACCCCAAACCAACCCGCAGAGCTGCTCCGGCCTTGACCTTGAGCTCCCAGCTGGACAGCTCCACCACCAGATCCGCGGCAGTCAGAGCGGCCAACTGCCAGCCGCCGCCGCTGTTTTTTCTGGGTTGGGGGTTGGGTCTCTTTGGATACCCTCTCTTTGAGAGAGGTGTTTTTGTTGCCTAGAGAGCAAACTAGGCACCAAAGTGCCCTAGATAGCCCAAGTGCCCTAGATAGCCTAAGTGCCATAGCCAAAGTGCCCTAGATAGCCCAAGTTCCCTAGATAGCCTAAGTGCCCTAGATAGCCAAAGTGCCCTACATAGCCTAAGTGTCCTACATAGCCTAAGTGCCCTACATGGCCTAAGTGCCCTAGATAGCCTAAGTGGCCTAGATAGCCTAAGTGCTCTAGATTGCCTAAGTGCCCTAGATAGCCTAAGTGCCCTACATAGCCTAAGTGTCCTACATAGCCTAAGTGCCCTAGATAGCCTAAGTGCCCTAGATAGCCTAAATGCCCTAGATAGCCTAAGTGCCCTTAGATAGCCTAAGTGCCCTAGATAGCCTAAGTGCCCTAGATAGCCTAAGTGCCCTACATAGCCTAAGTTTCCTACATAGCCTAAGTGCCCTAGATAGCCTAAGTGCCCTAGATAGCCTAAGGGCCCTAGATAGCCTAAGTGCCCTAGATAGCCTAAGTGCCCTACATAGCCTAAGTGTCCTACATAGCCTAAGTGCCCTAGATAGCCTAAGTGCCCTAGATAGCCTAAGTGCCCTAGATAGCCTAAGTGCCCTAGATAGCCTAAGTGCCCTAGATAGCCGAAGTGCCCTAGATATCCTAAGTGCCCTAGATAGCCTAAGTGCCCTAGATAGCCTAAGTGCCCTACATAGCCTAAGTGTCCTACATAGCCTAAGTGCCCTAGATAGCCTAAGTGCCCTAGATAGCCTAAGTGCCCTAGATAGCCTAAGTGCCCTAGATAGCCTAAGTGCCCTAGATAGCCTAAGTGCCCTACATAGCCTAAGTGTCCTACATAGCCTAAGTGCCCTAAGTGCCCTAGATAGCCTAAGTGCCCTAGATAGCCTAAGTGCCCTAGATAGCCTAAGTGCCCTAGATAGCCTAAGTGCCCTAGATAGCCTAAGTGCCCTACATAGCCTAAGTGTCCTACATAGCCTAACATAGCCTAAGTGCCCTAGATAGCCTAAGTGCCCTAGATAGCCTAAGTGCCCTAGATAGCCTAAGTGCCCTAGATAGCCTAAGTGTCCTACATAGCCTAAGTGCCCTAAGTGCCCATAGCCTAAGTGCCCTAGATAGCCTAAGTGCCCTAGATAGTGCCCTACATAGCCTAAGTGTCCTACATAGCCTAAGTGCCCTAGATAGCCTAAGTAGATAGCCTAAGTGCCCTAGATAGCCTAAGTGCCCTAGATAGCCTAAGTGCCCTAGATAGCCTAAGTGCCCTAGATAGCCTAAGTGCCCTAGATAGCCTAAGTGCCCTAGATAGCCTAAGTGCCCTACATAGCCTAAGTGTCCTACATAGCCTAAGTGCCCTAGATAGCCTAAGTGCCCTAGATAGCCTAAGTGCCCTAGATAGCCTAAGTGCCCTACATAGCCTAAGTGTCCTACATAGCCTAAGTGCCCTAGATAGCCGAAACTTGAAGTGACAAAGTGGCAAAGGGAAACCCTTCGGACCACGCGCACACCTTGCAATTGTCCGCCTCGTCTCGGAAGGCGTAGCTCAGGGTGATGCGTCCCATGCTCTGCACATAGTCCACCCCCCTCAACTGCCAAAGGATCGTTGGGGCTTTGGGGTTTTCAGGGCTAGAGTCTTTTTCCAACCCTTGGTGAAGCAACAAATATGTTTTTGTTCTTTTCTTTTTCCGCAGCCTAAACATGAACATCACCCCAAAACGGATTTTTGTGAAGACCAGGTTTCCCTTTGGGACCCCCACCCATGTGTTTGGCCCTCTAAAAACAACCAAAACAACTAAAATATATGTGGAAGACATGTGTTTTTCTTTTTTAAGGGCCCCCCCCCCCATGTTGTTCCCCCCTGATACAACAAAAAACACGCCAAGCACCAGTCTGAAGCTCTGCCATTTCTTCCCCCCGGGGCCGCGGCTTTGCATGGCCCTTGCTGGGGACGCACGCAAAGTCCCGCAGCTTGAAGACTTGGCCCTGCCGCATTCCAAAAGATCCCGGTTGGGCGACTTCAATGAGCGCATGGGTCAAAAGTTTGACCAGGGATCGGACAGCAGGTTTTAGTCCTTAGGGGGAAACACCCAAATGGGTATGGGGTCAAAACTCGACCACCAAACAGCAGGTTGAAATGTCCTTGGTTCCGTTTACCACTTTTGGTGCTTGGGCGACGTAAATGGAGCGGGGTCTGAGAATAGGGGGAAGTTGTTTGGATGGTTTCGAAGGGAACCAAAAGGAAACCATCTGGAGGGATCCCGAATTTTGAGAAACACTTGAATGGGTATGGGTCAAAATTCGACCACCAGGAATTGGCCCGCAGCTTGAAATGTCCTTTCCATTTAGGGCACCCCATTTTAGGGATACCCTATTTTTGACCCACGGCCAACGAGCTTCTAAGAGGTTCAGTGCGATTGCTTGGATCTGTGACTCTGGGACTCTGGGTTCTAAGAAGTGAGTCTAAGATGCTACAGGCTACACACATGATGTCAATCAAAATAGGGCTCCCAAATTGGAACCCACACATGATGGTCACATGATCTGACCCAGTTGTTCATTACAACCCCCAAAGGGGCGGGCCCCTGGCTTATGTGGCCCCGGTGGTCTAAAATCCCTTGGGTTGATGATCATCCCTACCAACCCCAAGACTAAGCCCCATATTCGGGCTTGTTGGCTTCAAGTTAGCACTGCTTGCATGAGCACGACCTGGCATGTTGGTTGCTTTGTTTGCAAAGATTGTGGCACGTGAAGACCATCCGGAAAGTGAAGGAACTCTCCTTCGAATAAAAGTACTATCCCTCAATCTGAATCATTCGGAAATTCCGAAAGTTGTACCCGCAGGTGAGCTTGCATCATCATGCTGCCAAACCGAGTTTTTGGACACATGTTCACCTTCTGCATCGGCGCCGGGCGTGGCTTCGGCCACAGCGGGCTGCTTCGCCCTCTCTGCGCAGCCCGTCTTGGGCCGCGAAACCTCCGAGGAGCTTCTCCGCAGCTTCCGCGGCCCCGGCGCCGACGCCGGCCGCGATGCCCGCGAGGGCGGGCGCGAGGGCGCGAGGCCTTCGCGCCGGGCCGCGCGCCGCGCTTGGCGCCGGGCGATTTGGAAGTCAGCCACCGTGGCCGAGTGCTGCATGCCCTGCCGAGAGCTGCTTGAACCGTTGGCCGTGTTGGTCACTGTCGGGGAACCAAAAGAAGATAACGGATATTTGAAGATGTTGAAACACCTGGTTGGCCCAACCCCGCCTTGCACGGCTGCCACGGCTGGTAAGGCGGAAAGGCAAAGTCCTCGTCAGAGTCATCCACAGCTAGTTCTTGAGAGTCCTCCAACTGCCGCTCTGGCTCGCGAGTCGACGTTCGAGTCTTCAAGGAATCCATGAGCGCCTGGCGCACGGCATCTGCATGCAGCCTGGAGGACTGGTGCAGCGCTTTTTCCACGCGCCGGTCCCGCAGCTGCCGCTTGGCCCGATCCATTTGCTCCTCCCGGACCTCGGCCCAGCGAAAAGCGCAGCGCAGCGAGGTCGTTGCCTCCAACAGCTCCGAGGAGTTCGCCGGCAGCGCGCGGCGCGCGGGCGACGCCCGCGCCGCCTGCGGCAGCGGCCGCTGCTTGTCCACCGCGATGGCGGTGGCCGAAACCGGCAGCAGCGCGAAGACGTCGCGCCGGACCATCCTTTGGACACCCGGCGCAGCTGCACCTCTGCCCCGCTTGAGCCCGCCCTGGAGGCGACGTGAAAAACAAACTCGAAAAGCCATCGGGCAGTTGGCCGCCGGATCCCAGTCCTCCCATGCCCCGCAGCTGGACATGAAGCCTGGGAAGTCGAGTGCCGACTCTTCGAGCGCCACAAGAAACTCTTCATGCTGCAAATGCAAGATATGCACCGGGGGGGGGTTCACCATTCCATTGGATGGCTCTAATTAAAGGGAGGCCGCAAGGAAACAACTCACCCACGTTTCGTGGTCCCCTAATTTTCGGAGACACCCGAGTCAGACAATTCCACCTCTGCTTTTCCTCGAGGCTGCCGCCAGGAGGCTGCCCAAGGACTGGCACATGAAAATCACATTGGAAATGGCATCAGGCAGGCTGCTCAATCGTTGGTTGCCCGTTGGCTCAGAGTGCTGCCCAAATTTCTGGAGAACTCACCAAACCTGGCACTCCAACGCAAGAGTCAATTTGTGCTTCTGGTTTCCATCCAACACCACGGTTGGTGGTTGCCCGTTCTGCTCATGATCTGTTAAGTTTCCAAAAATGCTGCGGATGCCTATATGTGGGTACGTCTGTGCTTAGACCTCAACAATGGTGGTTTCCTTTGGGTTGTTTCCCTTTAATCCCAAAAAGGTTACCCCAAAATACAACTCACGCAAATCCAGCAAGCAGCTTCAGTGGCGGAAAGCCTTCCGCTGGCCCAACGACACTGCTACGCTACCACCTTTTTGGCGCCGGTTCACCATTCTGATCATGGTTCGCTGCCCTACTGTGGATGCACGAAATCCAGCACCACCTAAGAAGCTTTGGAATGATGATTCCCCTGCAAAATACCGACAAACGACGTCAACTTGGTGCAACATTTCGTCCATCCATGGTACGTCCACATGCCGTGCTAGTGGAAAATTGTGTCCAAACTCGGGCCGGGCGGCACGACTTCGGTAGCTCGCCATTTGGCGGCTGAAGTTCCCATGCAACCCGCAACCCCGAAACGCTTCAGGGGCGGTTTGATCATTAAGAGGCGCCGTTTTAGTTTTGGTCGGCGCTCATCGAATTGTGCTTGCCTCAGGCGCCAGGCGACAAGCGCTGACCGGCATTGATCATTAAGAGGCGCCGTTTTAGTTTGTCGGCGCTCATCGAATTGTGTTTGCCTCAGGCGCCAGGCGACAAGCGCTGACCGCCGAGAGACAGAATTTCCGTCGGCAAGTTGAACTGCTCTGCCTCAAAGGGAGGGGCAAAAACACACGGCCAGCTGAGTTCCACTTTTTGTCTACACCAAGTTAGACTTAAATTTGGGGGGTGGTTTCCCCCAAAAGGGAACTGCGTCTACGTTGGGGGGTGTCAAGAAATAATACCCTGGCTGCCAGGCTCCATGAAACACATCAGGATGGTCCAAGCCAGTCACCGGTCACATCGCCGCCAAGCGTGGCAATTGGATCCAAGCCATCCACCCGAGTCCCGAGTCCCTTTCGCTGGCGCAGGAAACCCAGGGAGCCCTAGCCCAAAGGAAAATCGCGGGCTATCCGTCACTGAGATTCACCGGCATAGGTCGCCTTTTGGAAAACTAGATGGCCCTGGCAAATGGGATAACACCCATCAAAACCAGTGCCATCTATTCTTAGCCGAACTAACCTAAAAAGGACACCTATGTTCACCGGGCTATGCGAAGTGTTTGAGAACACTTCGAGGTGCTTGGTTGTCAGCATCTGGCCCAGGTGCACGCAGCAAATGCCGGCTCGGAGATCATTGCTCCAGGTTTAAGCCACCTGACAAGGAGAGTGAACTCGAGGAAAGATGCAAGTCAAGAGCAAACGCATATCCTTTCATTCCCAGAAAGGTGGTGGGTTTGGTTCTTCAGCAAAACTGTGCAACTTGCAACGTACCACACTTTGGACACGAACCTCTCATCCCGCCTGATTGTTCCATCTCTTCAATCAGATCCTGCGCCATTGTCTGTGGATCATTGTCAAAATCATGTGGCTGTGGGTCAAAAATAGGTGCCCAAAATGGAACCCTGGTAAATGGAAAACCTGCGGTCCCCTGGTGGCTTAATTTTGACCCACACCCATGTGGCCTCTTGAAAACAGGAGCCGCAGTTGTTTCAAAGGGAAACCAAGAAACACCTTCAGCCCATTGAGACACGTGAGGGGCACCAAAACCCCAAGGCGTTGCGGCACATGGCAGCTGGTTTCTTGTGTAAGGCTTGGATTCCACACTCGCGAGTGGACACCTCGGTGAAACCCACCATGAGGAATCAACATATCCCCAGCGGATCCCAGTTACCACTATAGTACAAGGTGAATCATAATATTCAACCAACTGAAATCAGGTGGTTAATTCCCCACATAAACCACCATTTGGGGTGAGGTCGTGAGAGGTCGTTATAATTCACCAGCCGTTCTACTTGCAGCTTTCCGAAGGGTGGCTCGATCCCTTGTTTCCAAAACCTCCCCGGACGTTGGACACCAAGAGGCCAGAGCCAAGCCCACCATTCTTTCCAGGATCCTTCTTTTCAGGAAACCATCAAAAACGCGAGGCAACTGCCGGTTTTTGAAAAAAGAACGATGGTTTAAAAGAATGGGGAATCAACCCCTAGATCTTTGACTCTCCGGCAACACAACAACTGAGCATCCGGCATCGATCTCGCACCTCAGTTCGCTTCTTCGGCTCCAAATCAGACTGCCTTGGGGCCTTTCACCCCGCCCCCAAAGACCCAAACACACACCCAAAACAGACCCCCAATCTTGGGGGAAGACTGAGGTGTGTGGTTTATTTGTTTGTTTGTTTATTTATTGATTTATTTATTTATTTATTTAATGTATTGATTTATCTCCTCTCTTTTTTTTTGGGGGGGGGGGGGCAGCATGAACAAAAGCTGGACCTGACTCTGCGGATGCTCTCAGGCCCTTTCGGCGAGCCGAAACCACCGAAGTCTGTCTCTCCATTGCCAGCTTCCAAAAGACCAAACCCCCCGCTGGACAAATATGTCTTTCACCAGCCCCCAGTCCCCTTGAAAAAGAAACATGTGATGTTCTTAAGATAACATAACACCATTATATGTATTTGTTGCTTGCGTTTTGTGCGTTGTTCCTTGGTGGTTGAAATTATCTGGTGCGCCCTGAGCCTTGAGCCATAGGAATTCCTCCCAAAATGGCTTTGTGCTTGACCCTATTGGGGGCTTACGCACGAACTGAGGCGCTTGCCTCGTTGGGAGTGGGGAATTGGGTCTCCCATCCCTGATGGGGGAATATATATTTTTTGAGAGAGCCTCTTTCCAACAATCATGGAAGTGGACAGGTGGGTTTCCCCCAAGGGAAGGTAGTCTTCCAAGCCCCTCCCGGCAGCTTCCATGATTGTTGGAGGGAGGGTAGCCCTTTGTCGGTTGAAATTGGTGCTGCGCCTGGAGCCTCGAGGCCTCTTTTGCCTTGAGGCCTCTGAGCCCCGCGCTGCTTCCCCTTGTCCTTGGCGTCCATGACGGCGCTGGCGTCCCGCGACAGCTGCCGGCTCACCAGCTGGCCTCGGACACCGGGAAGTCTTTCCGGACCACGTGGCTTGCTGGGCAGTCTGTTGTTGTTTTTGAATTGTTGCTTTGGTTTTTGTGTTTTTTGGGCATTATTTTTCTGGCGAAAGGTGAGCACTTTTCTAGGGGTACCTTCCATTTCCATTCTTTCCAGGGATCCGAGTCTTTTCAGGAAACCATCCAAAACCCAAGAGAAAACAGCCGGTTATTGAAAAGAACGATGGTTGAAAAGAGAATGGGGAATCAAGGCCTAGAGCTTTTAGTGGGTTTAGTGGAAACTATAAAAAGCGAAAAACCTAAGGGGATTTAGTTTCGGATCCCCGGCGCATTTGCTTAAGTCCCCTGGGAAAAATGACCAAATATGTCCAGTGGTGATAGATTCCCTTTAAAGTCAACAGGGGAAAAAATATTGACCAAATGGAAGGAACAGTTTAACATTTAGAGTCCCGCATGACGATGGGTTGTAACGCGGTCGGTGGTTGCAAGTAAATTAAGACGAACATGCCCCAAGTGCGTTTAACTTTTAGTGGGCTTAGTGGAAACTACCACTGAACCCCAAAAAGCGGTTCAGAAAAAAAGAGGATGGCGGGAGCCAAGTTTGGTGATTGGTTGACCTCCTTTTCTTTTTGGCCCTCGAAAGCGAAGGCCTGATCCCGAACATCACGAAAAGGACAAGAGTTGTTGACGTTTAAGGGTCTGTCTCCCAAACAAGTGAAAAAATATGGGCACCGTTTGTTTTGTGGTTGACTTTAAAGGGAAACAAACCCAACCCCCTTTAAGTCAGGGCACACTCTTCTTGTCGGTAGATTCAAAGAGAAAAACACCTAATCCCAACAAAACGAGTTGAACGAGTCGCGAAAGGGTGCCAATGGGTGCCAGTGTCTGCGGTGTGCGCACAGCGGCTGTGCGGCACACGTCTAAACCCAAAATCGACAAAAAGTTGGGGGCGCCTTTTTTTGGTGGCTGACTTTACAGCGGGAAACAAACACACACGAAACGTTGCAAACGAGTTACCAATGGGCAACGGCTGGGCAGAGGTCTTAGTAGCTGACTTGAAATTTAACCCCAAGCCCATCTTTTTTGCTGGTTGACTCCAAAGTAAAAAACACGAATCTCAAACAAGTCGAACAAGCTGAAAAAAGGGCGCCTGTAGTTTCTTAATTAATTAGCATATTTTGATGGGAAACCCAAAGCTCAAAATCGTTGGAAGGAAACCCCCAAAAACCCGAAGCCAAAGGAACCCCCAACACCCGAAGGAAACCCCAGGCCCCAAACAAGTTGAAGGAAACCCCCAAAAATCTGAAACCAAAGGGTGAGTTGAAGGAAGCCCCAACAAACCCCTCAAAAAAAAGAAAGAAAACGAAACCCCCAACACACCAGTTCAAGGGAACCCCCCAAAGACCCGAAGCCAAAGGAAACCCCAACAACCAAATCAGCTGTTAAGGAAACTCCCAAAACCCAACAAAAACCCACAAACCAGTTGAAGGAACCCCCCAAAACCCTTAAACCAAAAGGAGTTGAGAAGCTCACCGAAGCTTGAAAAGCAAAGTGGCTGTAGACCCCGCCGGTCTTGAGCAGATCCTCGTGGGTGCCCCGCTCCATGATGGCGCCCTGGGTGTTGGGTTTTGGTTTTGCGGGCGGGCGAAGGATTGGGGTGGGGGGGGGGGGGGGTGGGGGTTTTGAGGTTTTTTTTTTGGGGGGGGGTTTAGGGGGGGGGGGGGTTAAAGGGTGTTTGGGGGGCAGAGGGGTACTTTTTGTGGGGGGGCCCCAACCTGATTTTTGGCTCTTGAAGGTTGCAAAGTATTTGGGGGGGGGGTTGGGGGTTTGGGGGTTTGTGGGTTTTGGGGCGCCCTAGTATTTTGTTGTGGCCCCCAACCCTGGTTTTGGGACTTCAAAGGCGATCCCGGCCACTGGCCAGCCTAGGCTTGGGGCCCAACATGAGGTGCCAAAGGCTTCTTTTTGGACCCAACCTGTCAGCACCTGAATCCGAAGAACCCCCTGTTGTTCGGGGTTCCTGGTCCCAAAAACCAGAAATTCACATCCCCAAGCCAATCGAAATTACAAAACAAGGGTTATCTGAACCTGTTTATGGACCCCAGGACGAAGAGGAGACTCGGAAAGAAGGTGAACGTTTCTTTATTGGAAAACAAAAGGAAAGGAACCAATTTTGGAAACCAAGGTTGGTTCCAAAAGGAAACCAACCGTCAAACAGGAAAAGCACGCAAGTTGGGTTTTGGTGGTTCCCTCATTTATTTTGGTTGTGGTGGTCCTTTGGAAATCAAAAGGAAACCTCTAGCTTACCCATTCTGAATCCATCTGTCTGGAAACCGCCAAACAACCAACACTGATCCCTTGTGAAAAAGGAACACAAACAAAGAAAAACGGAAACCGAGAGTGTGGTCTTGGTGGTTCCCTCGTTCTGAGTCACAAGCAAAAACCGGTATTGAAATGGTCTACCCAAAACCATGTACAGATTAAAAACGAAAACTGCACCCATTTTAGGTTGGGGGATTATCCATTACAAACTTGCCTTCGTCTACCCGGATTCGATTGTGGCCCATGTTGGCCTGGCAAACCCATAGAACTGTCGCCACCCGCAAAACACACCACCAAACCGAATACACCTGTTTTGGTCTAGTAAAGTCTTCCCCAAGCGAATGTGTTGTGGAGGGAGGGGGTGCGTTTGGGGCGCTCCCCCGAAGCGGGGGTATGATGGAAAGGAAACCAATTATTTGGCGGTTCCTTTGACACACTCCGACTGTTGATTCCCGCCAAACCATGGAGATATCCCCCCCTGCAAGTTCATCAATGGAACCCAAAACGATGTCCTTTTCCTCTAACATTGACGAGGATTTAGGCAAGCGCGCAAATTGGGTGCCCAAGTTGCGCACGCGATGGGACCTTCTTATTCAGGCATGCTAGGCATGCTGGCTTGGCGGTGACAAAAGTTGATAATGGTGATCCCCTTGGCCGAGTTTCCTCTTCAACGAATTGCTTTCCAAAGCCAAGGCTCCAACTCTCTAATCTTGTGACAGGGAGACATGGCTTTCTTCTTTCATGGCAGTCTATTTTGCAACCACCTTCTTTTCGGGGCAAGGGTTTCTCAGAGCAAAATAGACGCGTCTCTACGGCACCGGAGGGGAGGGGCTTTGCCGAACACGCTTCGCTACCCACAGCAGACAAGCGATTTTGAGAAATCGCTTGGGGCAAGACATCCGATTTTTAGTGGGTTCCTGACCCTCCCAAACCTCCAATAATACCAAAAGAAGTGTCGCCTTTGAAGAAAAGGGGAGCCAAGAAAGGCTCCCTTTCTTTGTCGCCTGTTTTTGTTTGTTTGGGTCTCCCTGCAAAAAAGAAGTACTTGCTGCTAGTACCTGATGCTTAAGTTCAAAGAAGTTCATGGAACGCGCCTTGTGCACCACGCAGATCTGCGTGGCGTTGATCACGGTGCTCAAGCGGTGAGCGATGAGCACCACGGTGGAATGCAGCTCCGTGATCAGCTTCTCTAGGGCCGCTTGCACCATCGCCTGAGGCTTCTTTCGCTATGTGTTATTCTCTTTGTTTTTGTTGCTTTTGTTCTTGTTTTTTTTGGTTCTTGTGTATATATATATATATATGTTTTGTTTTAATACCCTTCCTCCAACTAACATGGCACCTGTGGGGAGGTACCTGGAAGATGAATTTCCTTTTGAAGGGACCCCCTTTCAGTTGCCATGTTAGTGGGAGGGAGGGTATCGCGAGACGAAAGCAAAACAGCAACCGGTGGAATGTTTAACACCAACGGGTGGAATGTCTTGCGGTAGGTCGGGGATGTGGGAATGAACCGTTGCGGGATTCCCGAAGAAAGGAAATCATAGGGGATGGTTTATAAGGGTCATCAAGATGTGGGGCTGCCCACAAAACGCCTTAAAACGGGTAATCCACTGTGGGGGTACCCAAAAAGGGCATCTTGGGGTGATCCGCTGCAGGCATCCAAGGGTCTGGCAAGCCAGCCATTGGGGGGTATCCAAGGGTGAAGCAATCAGTTTTCCATACCTGATTAGTTGGCTTCCTTTCAATCGACTGAAAGCGGGGCCAGGAAAAGCCGGGAAGAAACAAGGTAATTGGTAGGGCTTCTTGCAGACCGGGCTGTTTCGCGTGGCGTACATGGCAAATTCTGAAGGGTTGCACGGCGCAAAATGCTCTCGCAAGCACGAAAACGCTTGTTCGTATCGGACCGTCTCTACCAATGGGCGTGGTGGCACACTCAGACTGCATGAGCGCGAACATGTTCTCACGTGCCGTGAGCGATGTCTCGAGAGCTTTTGCAGCATACAATGTTTGTATAGTGCCAGTGCTTGGCACTTGGTGATCATTCCCCCGTCCCAACCCCACCACTCAGTTCAAAGCAACCTCCAGAGATGCTTGCCAAAACAACCATTCACCGGTACCCCATGGTCCCAGAGACTACTTTATCACTTAAACAGGATTCTGAGACAATATGGCCATGGGTCAAAATCCAAATCGTACCCCCAGTGAACATCCCAATCCCCACTAAAATAGGCTCTAAAATGGGTGGCACACCTATCCCAAAATCAGACCCATTTCACAGCCATATCTTTTTTGACCACCACGAGCTTCTCCTTCCAGGCTTTCTGTGATACCAACCTCCCCTTTCGCCCGCCCTTGGTCCAGACCAGGCAACCTAAACCCAATTGTCCACGTGGCTTGAAGCCGCCGTCTCAAAACAAGGAGTGGGAATCTCCAAAATATCCCAATTTTCAAAAGGGGCTATGAAGCCGCCGTCTCAAAAAAAAGTTTCGGTTCAAACCCCCAGCCCCCCAAATACCTTCGCTTCGCTTCGCCCCAGGCCCCAGGCCCCAGGCCCCGCTTCGCCCCGATTCGCCTCGTTCTCCGCGTCCAGGGCGGAGGTGGCCTCGTCCAGGAAGAGCATCCGGGGCTTCCGCAGGAAGCAGCGCGCGATGGCGAGGCGCTGCTTTTGGCCCCCCGACAGCATGATGCCCTTCTCCCCCACACGGGTCTCGTAGCCCTCCTCGCAGCGGCTCCGAAGTTTTTCTCGCAACAACTACATCCAAAACCCACATCCCACTTAGCACACGACTTAACCCTCCTCTCAAAACTCCGAAGTTTTTGGTCCGGAAGGGCTGGAAACATCCCAGAGCACATCCCATCTGGCATCTCTCGAAGAGGAAATTGAACAACCAAGGTTGCGACACTTGGCACACAGTTCGGTCCCAACAATGGCCCTATTTGACATAACCCTCACTATTCCAAACAAGACAAGGAGTGGAAGACTCTGCTCCAGTCTTGAATTTTGGGCGTGACACACATTGCAAAAACAAAGAAGCAACAAGAACTTATAGGCACCAGTGCAACCCCAGTTGTTTTTGCTCTTTGGGAGAAACAAGCACCTCTTGCCTCCCCAACATTTTAGGGGTATCAAGGAGATTTCAAAAATAAACACCTCCCGATCGTTTGCGCTTTTCCCCTTTCGTGCTTCGCTTACCTTTTCGTGTTGGGGTCCATAAATTGCCCTGTTCGGCGATGCCCATTCCTCCGTCTCCAGGAAGGTACCCCCATTTGGGGTACCGTGCTCATGTGCGATCCGTCCAACCAAAAACCCAGCCAGATATAGGTACGTGCCAAAATAGGGACACCCACAAAATTCGATCATCGGACTGTCCCTTCGGTTCCCTTGAAAACCACCCCAAAAAGAAGCGCCGACCCTTCAAAAGAAGGGGCGAGCCAGCTTTTTCCCCGTCCTCCATCTCCAGGATGAACTCATGGGCATTGGCAGCCTTGCACGCCTCTATGAGCTCCTCCTTCGTGTGGTCTCGGCCTAGGCCGTAGCCCAAGTTCTCCTCCACGGAGCAGGAGAAGAGCTGCGTGTCCTGTCGAAACACCGTCTTGGCGTCGGTTCTTAACGGAGGTGTCGATCCCAAGGGGACACCGAAGGGAAGCCAAAAGTAACCACGAGAAACCAAGGAGAAATCTCGGAACTGGGCTGCCCTCAGATCGCCCGCTCAAAGTTTTACTTTTGGTGGGTTAAATGGAAACTACCACTAAACACTAAAAAGCTAAAAGGCTGAGGAACCGGATGGCTGGGAGCCACCAAGCGAAGCAAACAAACAAAAAAGACGCCTTTTCTTTCGGCCATTTTCTCCTGGGCCACGAAGCCGCAGCACTGGCGCACGCTCTTGGAGGACAGAAGCTTGGTATTCCGGCCATCCAAGATGATGTCCCCAGCCGTGGGCTCGTAGAAACCTGACAGGATGTGCTGATAATTTTGCCTAAGCCCCCTGGAAATGCTGTGTTTTTTTTTTTAAACAAAATATGTCCAGTAGTGATAGATTCCCTTTAAAACCAGCAATGGGGAAAAATGTGTTTTAAGCAAATGGACGATGTGCTTTGATGTGCGAAATGTGTGTCACCAAAGTGGGAGATATGTGTCATTTGGGTCCCTCACAGTCTAAAACTCATCCAGTCATTCAATCCATTTCCCTCTTTGGGAACCAAGGGAACCACCCTTTTGAAACCGCAAGTTGAAAATGGCAAAGGGGTTTTCCAAAACCATCCGTGGGTTGCGAATCGGATTCCTGATCTGGGTAGTAAGTATGGGCGTGGACCTTTTTCTAGGGACCCTTTGTAAACAGCCACCAAAAATGGGGGGGGGGGGGTCCCAACTCCTTTAAAAAAAAGAAGAGACAGAGTCCCACCTGTGTGTTGTCTTCAAGAAACACCTTTTTAGGGGGGACGGGGGGAGGGGGTACCAACTCCTAAAAACATAAAGAGAGTCCCACCAGCATGTCTTCAAGAAACGCATGAGCAGATGCACCAGCGTGCTCTTGCCACCCCCGCTCTTGCCCACCAAGGCAGTGGTGGTACCAGGCTCCATCTCAATGTCAATACCCTTCAGGACGATGCTGTCGGGACGTGACCGATACCGGAACCTCAGAGTGACCGATATCGGAACCAGAGACGTAGATTCTTGTTGGATCTCCCTGAGAAAAAGGAGACAATGGCTTCCATGTGTCTTGTGGCTGGCTGATTTAGATGTCTAGATGTTTATGCGGGGTTGGCTTCAACTTCTTGTTTTTTGGCTTGCTGATTCTGAAGGGGTTTACCTTTGCCGACAGTCAAGTGGGTTGAAGGGAAACCCTTTTCAACAAATATGGTCATGGGTCAAAAGCCCGAACCCCAGTCAACATCCCAATCCCCACTAAAATAGGCTAAAAGGGTGGTGCACCTACCCCAAAATGGTACTATCAATTTTGACCCGCAGCCATATGGGAAAGGGCTGGGTTGCAGCTTGGGAACTGGATACCCTTGAGCTGCAAGTGGCCCTTCACGCTTTCCCGCGTCACGATTTCCCCCTCGTCGGGGTTCACATCCGGGCGCGCGTCGATGAGGGAGAACACCCGCTCGGCGGCAGAGGAGGACCTCTGGGCAAATTGGTATCTTCCATTTGCTTAAGCCCCCTGCAAAAAATAAACATATTTCCAGTTGTCATAGATTCCCTTTAAAACCAACAGGGGAAAATACAAAATATTCTTAAGCAAATGGAAGCAGAGATAAAACAGGGAATCCCAAAGGCCCTTGAGCTTGAAGCTCCCCCGGAAGCGTTTGTTGAATGAGACTTCTGACCTGATCAGGTCGTTGAAGACATTCCCCAAGGAGATGAAGGCGCTGTTCATCATGTTCCAGTAGAGTTGGAAGGTGATCAGCGAGCCGATGCTCATCTGTCCGTTCCCGTCGCAGACCAGCTGCCCCCCGTACCAAAGGATCAACACCGCAGTGCCCAGGTTCAAATACCTCATTCCAAGCCCTGAGCGCTTCAAAAGGTCCTTTTGTAAGGGGCTAACTAATCAGAATGGGGGGGTTGGGGAAACCCACAAAACAAAACCATGTTCTGTCATGAGCCCCTTGTATTCACCTTTTGCAGGCTTGATGGAAACACCATTTGGGTGTGTCTCAGAATAGGGATCACGCCCCGAAAATGGGCTTCAGGCGTCCTTTTTGGTTTCCCTTAGGTTCCCCAACCTCCAACCAAAAAAACACGTTCCGCGCGGCTCCGCCAATTCCGCGCGCGCCAGGATACGTGGAGAAGGCGGTCACCGATGCACCCACGTAGGCGTTGCGGACCCCGTGGCCCAGGGCTGTGTTGATGCTGTCCGAGTATTTGCCGGCCTACGTCGACTGAGATAACGCTTCGCATGTGGGCTTTTGTCGATTCACCGCTGCAGAATATTGAAAGAGTACCAAGAAAAAACTACGAAAAGGACCAACAGGGAGGAAAAACGGGGGACATCCACAAAAAGCGCATCCAAACGGCTTTGTAGACCAATGGGATTTCTGGCTTCACAAATTGGGAGGTAACGCAATTTAATGTGGGTGTTCTGGTTTTCATGTCTGGTGTCTGATCCCTTTTAACGAAGTTAGGGCAGTAGTTCTTGCAAGGACTTCCTGGTTTCAATTGGGAGGCGAAACCAACTCTTGCTTGATGAAAAGGGTTGGTTTCAATTGGGAGGAAGAAGGTTTCAGTTGGTGGTTGCTGTTTGTTGTTGTTGTGGTTGTTGTTGTCGTTGTCGTTGTCAGTGTCGTTCTCGTTGGCGTTGCGGTTGTTGTTGCCCCTGCTGCTGCTCCTGCTGCTGTCGCTCCTGCTGTTGCTGTTGTTGCTGTTGCTGTTGTCGTCGTCGTCGTGGTCGTGGTCGGTTGTTGTTGTTGTTGCTGCTGTTGTTGCTGCTGCTGCTGTTGATGATGTTGCTGTTGCTGTTGCTGTTGCTGTTGCTGTTGCTGTTGCTGTTGCTGTTGCTGTTCCTGTTCCTGTTGCTGATGCTGTTGTTGCTGTTGCTGTTGCTGTTGCTGGCGTTGTTGCTGCTGCTGCTGCTGCTGCTGCTGCTGCTGCTGCTGCTGCTGCTGCTGCTGCTGCTGTTGCTGGGTTGTCACCGTCGTCGTCGTTGTTGACGTTGTCGTTGTCGTTGTCGGTGTCTCTGTGGCTGTGGCTGCCGCTGTTGCTGTTGCTGTTGCTGTTGCTGTTTCTGTTGCTGCTGCTGTTGCTGTTGCAGTTGCAGTTGCTTACTGTTGTTGTTGCTGTTGCTGTTTTTGTTGCTGTTGCTGTTACTGCTGCTGCTGCTGCTGCTGGTGGTGGTGGTGGTGGTGGCGGCGGTGGTGGTGGTGGTGGTGGTGGTGGTGGTTCAAGTCGGTTCTAATACAAAGACCCACCACAAAGAACCGAACTGCTGCCAAATACATGTTGTTTGTCTCCAAATGGTTGACCCCCAACATGATTGGTTTCCTTCTGGTTTCCCCTTAAACCATTCACAAAGGCTAGCCCCAAATACCCCTTTTAAAGGAACACAGTCTTCCAGTAACCCAAGGAGCTTCAAAATCTGTGTGCACCTTTTTTGGTGGCTTTAGATGCGAAACTAAAGGAGGCACCACCATTTCAGAATTTCAAGGGTCCAACTCCCATTTTGGCGCCCAAACCGCCAAAACGCAGGGATCACTTTCTTTGCAGGGGGGTCTTTTTGCCACCTTTGGGTGGAAAAATGATCCACCCCCTTGTAGCGAAACATTCCTTGTTGAGGGGGGTCGCCCATGTCCTCACCAAAGTTTGCAAAAAGAAAAAACAACTGGTTCCTTTTAATTGTTTTTCTTCGGCCGCGGCCTCGAACTCCTCAGTGGAGAAGCCCCGCACGGTGCGGATGTTGGAGATGGCGTCCGTGGCGGTGGAGTTGGCCTCGCCGTAGGCGCAGTAGATGGACCTCGTCACCTGACGGCAGCGGACGTGTCGGGGGGGGATGGGGGGGAGGGGGTTCCGGGGTGGGGGGGGAAGGGGGGAGAGGGAGGGGGGGGAAGGTCCGGTCACGGTGCCAGCCCAAAGGGCAGAATACTGCCTCTTGGTTCCCCTGGCTGCCAGCAGTTCCCCTTGGTTTTTCTTGGTTTCCCTTGCCAGCCTGTCTGGTCAAAGGAACGGAGGTCCCGGGCCCATAGGGATCGTCCCAGTGAACATCGTGGCGACGCAAAAACATGTTTGTGTCCTGCGTTGAAGGTGTGGCGTGAGTCTTTCAAGCGGAAGGTGGCGGCTTTTTGTTTTTGCCGTTTGCCTCAAGTAGGTGGAGGCAGCACGGACTGATTCAGTTTTAGGGTGTGTGAGCCCCTGCCACTGCCAAATGACGACGTAAAGCCACCAAAAGCACAGCCCGCAAACAATCCAAACCGCTTACGCGACCAACTTGCCTCTAAGACAAGCTTATGCGTCCTTATGCCGCACGTGTTTCCTTACGTGGGGCCCCCTTGGAATCGCAGTACCACTAGGTTTTGAACCCTGCTCCGTTGGATTTCCCAAAAAAAGCTCGCAAAGGGAAGCCAAGGGGACACCACGAATCCACCAAGTGGCCAAGCAATCTTGAGAAATATGCGTCTCGCCACTGAAAGGAAACACATTTCAAAAAATATTCACCTACAAGCGGCGCTCTCAAAACCGTGATGTTTTCCCGAAAGCATTGCGAAGGGTTCTTCCGGTAAAATCGCCAGCCTTATCACACAGCTAAACTTGCACGAGCCAACTTGCACCAGCCTTATCGCACAGCCAAACTTACACGAGCCAACTTACACGAGCCAAATTGCACGAGCCAACTTGCACAGCCAACTTACACGAGCCAACTTGCACGAGCCAACTTGCTCGAGCCAACTTGCACAGCCAACTTACACGAGCCAACTTGCACGAGCCAACTTGCACGAGCCGATGTGCAAAAACTGGGGACTTTTTACGATTTCTGAGGTGCGCGCGCGACCCTCTGCGGGGATTGGCGTGGTCGATGTGCAAAAACTGGGGGCTTTCTACGACTTCTGAGGTGCGCGCGACCCTCTGCAGGGATTGGCGCGGTCGATGTGTCAAAAACTGCGGACTTTTTACGACTTCTGAGGTGCGCGCGCGACCCTCTGCGAGGACTGGCGTGGTGGACCGCACGAAATGCTAGTAAAATGCTACTTTTTCAAGTCGGAACGCGGGCTTGAGAGTTTGTCTCGTGGTTACGCGCCTGCTCTTGGCAGTGACCGGCCCCGGGCTCGAATCCTGCTTGGTCTCCGCGGCCTTTAAGTTAGAAAGTCAGCAGCGCGAAAGTGGCTCACAAAGGGTGCATTCGTAGCTCCGGCTCAAATCGAAAGGTTGCCATGTTGCGGTCAGCGCTGCACGCAGAGAACTTGCTCGGAGAACTTGCTCATAGAAATTTGTCCCGAGCTTGCGCAGCATACTTTTTCGTAGCGCTTGCGCATCGCAACTTGCTTAGAGCACTTGCGCCCGCAGAGCAACTTGCGCTGAACACTTGGGCCGAGCACTTGCGCAGAGCAACGCTTGTATAGAGCTCGCAACACCGAAGCTTATCAGTCACAGAGGGGCAAACTTTGTAGATATCCGCAGTAGCACGCGCGCACGCACGCACGCAAGTGCACAAAGCTCGCAACACCAAAGCTTATAAGTCACAGAAGGGCAAACTTTTCAGATATCCGCGCTAGCACACACAAACACACACAGGCACGCGCGCAAGCCGCTAGCACACACGCACATGCACGCGCGCAAGTGCACAGAGCTCGCAGCACCGAAGCTTATCAGTCACAGAAGGGCAAAGTTTGCAGATATCCGCGGTAGCACACACGCACGCACGTGCGCAAGAGTGACACACACACACACGCATGTCGGCGTTATTTGCTTTGACTTGCCGTGGTGCACGCACGCACGCACGCACGCACGCACCCACCCACACACACACACGCACACACACACACACACGCACACACGCACACACGCACACACGCACACACGCACACACGCACACGCGCACACACGCACACACGCACACACGCACACACGCACACACGCACACATGCACACACGCACACACGCACACACGTGCACACGCACACACGCACACACGCACACACGCACACACGTGCACACACACACACACACACACACACGCACACACACACGCACACACACACACACACACACACACACACACACACACACACACACACACACACACACACTCACGCACACCCACACACACACACACACACACACACCCACACACGCACGCACACGCGCGCGCGCGCACGCAACACCAACTCTTGAGCAACCACTCCACTGGCACCCCTGCATGTCGGCTCGCTTTGCTTGTCTTTGGTCACTTTCCATTATGCTTTCGGGCCACCCGTGGTTCTAGTTTTTACGACTCCACCTCGGAAAAGTCTCCGAGGGGGCCCCGGTTCACAGCCCTTTTCGACCCCGCGCCTTGCGCGCCCACTTGGCGTAGGCCCGGTAGCTGTAGGTGATGGGGGGCACGATGGTGAGGGCCAAGATCGAGAGCTTCCAAGAGGTGCGGAAGGCCATCAGCATGCCGCCCACCTGACGAGATTAAGACAGAAGGAAGCCAGAATAACACAACAAAAACGCTCTACCCGAAACCCAGATTGAGGAGAAAAGCCAAAATAAAGCAACAACAAAAACCGGTCGACCCGAAACCCAGATTGAGAGATTGACAGAAGGCATGGGAAAAAATTAGATAATCTACCCAAAACCCATGGTAAGGGAATTGAAAGATCCGTTTTTTGCCGAATACGTTCATGGCTGAACTTGATCTCGGGGTGTTTGAACGAGCAATTCAGGGTGGGGTGTGGAATCGACCGACTCATAGCTGGTGCGGGCACCAGAAGTAGCACGTTGGCCAGCAGGTCGTTCATGAGGGTGCTCAGAGGCTGCGTCATCTGACCTGAACGAAGAGCAAAATGTCCCACGTTCCCCAAACATGGGGAGCCCAAAAAATGATTGGTGTCCCTTTGGTGTCCTTTCAAAACTGTCCCAAAAAGGGTACAAAAAAGAACATATTATATATATATATATATATGTATATGTATATATGTGTATTTGAAACGCACACACCCCGCACCCCAAAGCTTGGTATCCTCACTTCCAAGGAGCCCTGCGCTTCAGTCCCAACCACCAACCCGTTCACCCGGACCCATCCCAAGCAATTGACAGTGTGCTTCCCCATCGCTCCTCTAAGGAAGGGCACTCAAACAAAAAGAAGGAAACCAACCAGCCAAAACTAAAACGAAACCGACAAATCACAAACCTGAAAAAAAGAGGGGGGACAAAAAAAACAAAAAACTAAACCGACATATCACAAACCTGAAAAAATAACGAAACCCCGAACCAAACGATCCTCCTGCGGTCCTAGGCGGCCTAGGCGCTGGCGTCGTTGGTGAGCCGGCTGGTGAGCTGCCCCGTGTGCATGGTGTCGAAGAAGGCGATGTCCATGCGGATGACGCTGGCGAAGAGCTTCAGCCGCACCGAGCACGCCATCCGCCGCTGGACCAACTCCTATCATTCCCGAATTTGAGTCACAATCAAAACCCGGTACTAAAATGGTCCCCAGAACCATGTGAAGAATTAAGAAGGCGGCCGCAACTATTTCTGGTTGGGACTGCCCCTTACTCACCTTCATCTACATTTGATTCGACCAATGCCTGGTAGCCAGCAAAAGACATTAACCACTAGCAACCTTCAGATCTCCCTGGTGTAATCGTTCTTCGCGCTTGTTCTGTGGGTGGACAGACTGCACAAGTTGGGATGAATGAACCCTGGTGGATAAACGACATACCAACTGGCGCAAATGGGAATTTGTGCATGAGTAGAAACTAGAGGGACATTTCGCCAGGGAAATGTAAAGGAAGTTAGTGGGCCGCCAATTTCCTGCAGAGCCGCGGCTCTGCTTTGTGCTTTGGTGCCTTGAAAAGATTGCTGATGTTTGGTCCTCTGGTTTTCGGGAAGATCTTACGGACCCTTCGATAGTTGGACAGGTCTTTTGTCTAAGCTTGCGCCAGTTGAACAAAACATTCTATTTTGGAAGTGATCTGCCCTCCTCTTGCAGCTGGGGGTCGTCAAACAAGCATCCAGAAATCAGCATAGGTCATGGCCTCCTGACCCCATCCATGGTTGCCTTCACGGCCGAAACTTTTCCTAGGGCATTCCAAATCCTGGCAACCCAACCCGACCCATGGTTGATGCGCCGAGGTCAAGGAGCAGCCTCGGAATTCTGCCCTCTGTCCTTTGAAGCGACCCTGTTCCGCCCATTGCCCAAATCATGGGCCCAGGGCATGGGGAAAGCCAAGGATGAGCCTTGACTGCGCCCTAACGACTTGGACGCATTCGCCTCCAAACATGTTGCCAGTTGCTACTTGGCTTGTATCGTCTTGGTGGTTGAACCAAATGTTCGTCATCGACGGCTTTCGTCCAGGGTCCAAGTTTAAAGCCCCATACGGTGGACAGTTAAGTGCCCAGGGCCCTCGAAAAAGAGCAAAACACAAACAAACACAACACAGCACAAAAACCCAACAAATCCATCCCGAAAAAAAGAAAGACCTAACATATATGTACATACATATATATATATACTGTGTACACATGTATGTATATGTCAGACCCCTCTCAAAAAATAAGAATGGCAAAACTCTAAAAGGAATCCCCCTGGCTTCTCTCTATGTATATATACACATATATATATATATATATTATACGTTGTTTAAGCAAATACACCCCCCCCCAACAGACAAAAACAAAAACAAAACAAAAACAAAAACAAACACCTACCCCCCCCCCCAAAAAAAAACACACACCCCACTCCACCCCACCCCTCCCCACCCAAAAAAAAAAAAGAACACACAAAGCAAACACCAAAGAGACCTCCGACAAAACCAAAAAAAGACCAGAAGACGGCTCCTGGGCCAGCGCCTTGAGTCCGCTGAAGCAGCCCTGCAGCAGGTTCACCACCACGTAGGTGGCCATGGCTGTCTCGAAGCGGCCCCGCCCCGACTCCGGGTGCTGCAGAAACGCGATGATGCCTCGCAAAGCAAAAACGATGCCCCGCAAAAAAACGGGGCTTTCCGGGGGGAAGGGGGGGGGGCGATACCCTTCCTCCAACTAACATGGCACCTGTGGGAGGGTACCTGGAAGATCAATTTACTCCAAGGAGCCCTGTGTCAGAAGCCAGGTCAGGGGAAGGGAGGGTAGCCCCAAACAAAACGGGGCTTTTCGGGGGAGGGGGGGGGGGGGGGCAGGGGAAGACGCAAAAAAAAGAAGCATACGGTACTTTTAAGGGCGTTTGGGAAACTCTGTGTGTCTGGTTTGGTTTTTTGGGGGACTTGGTGTTTGTTGGTTGTGTTTCTGCTTTTTTTTCTTGGTCGGGAAACCGAAGGGAACCAATGATTTTGAGGGTTCCCTTTGAGACCAACGCAGAAAGGTGGATGGGGAAACCTGTCGCGAAATTGTCCGAACCCTTTTGGTGAGGATTCATGTCAAATTTCGAGGGGGTCCTCTCAAACATGTCAAGATTAGTGGCCCTTTGTAGATTAACGCAACCACCTCAAACGGAGCGGTCCAACCATTGAACAACACCACAGCCAAATGTCTACAGCCATATGGTCGCCCTCTCGCCCTCTCGCCCTCTTCGGGAAGTTGCCCTTCTTGTGATCTTTTCTAGTGGGCCATCCCCACGACTACTTTGTTGTCACTTTCAAACAACTTCCTTGGCCACTCACAGAAAGTGGCAACCCACAACATCCTGTTTTCGCCTCATGTTAAGGTACGTTTTCCTTCCCCTATTTGATTTCGAAAGGAACTAGACCAATTCAGGAAGTGCTGATCCGCGGCAATAAGCAGCTGGCTGAATAAAAGGGGGGCTTGGGGGTTCATCACTTGAAGAGAAGACCTCCCTAAGAAGGACTGGCGTATGTATCCAGGGTTTCCATGAATCTGATCTTTCCCACAATGCGAACCTGAGAATATGGGACCAACCATCTGGGTTGCTGTTGACCCCCCTGCAAAAAGTGTAACTTTCTGGGGGTTGAGTGGAAAACCCAACTTGACTTCCCAAAAAGTTAAAGTCTAAAGATCCAACCCAATAGCACTCAAGCCACGTCGTTTCTTTAAAACAAAAAAAAAGAAGGAACAAAAAAAAACGAACGCTTCGCTTAGATTTCTTTTGCTCGGGCGCCGTCGAAGATGGAGCCCTGCACATTGGGCGCCATGATCTGTAGCATCTGCCTTGGCTTTGCCGCGAGAAGCTTGACTGTTGGTAACGGAAAATCAAACCCCCTCCATAGGTGGCCTTTTGGAAAACTAGATGGGCCTGGTAAATGGAAGAAACTCCACCTAAACCAGTGCCATCTATTTTTAATCAAACTAACCTAAAAAAGACCCCTATGCCCCCCCCCCAAAAAAAAAAGGTAAAGTGAAACACCCACCAACGCAAAGAACACTGAAACACCCACAGATCCGGAGAAGAAAACAACAGCTTCAGGCTCGAGATCCGAAAATATAATATACGAGCGGCGTGATCACCAGGCACACCACCGCGGCGACCAGCGTGGGCCAAAAGTCCAAGGAGATGAGCCTAGCGAGTTCTTCCGGGCGGTAGGCGGTCGGAGGGAGAAAAGTTGGGCCTGACTTGGGGCGTCTCTTTTCTCGTAGCAACATTTGGGGGATCCCTAAAATGATGGATGTTCCTTCAGGTGTCCCTTTCAACCCACCGAAAAAGGGGTACCATCCAAAAAAGGCCCATGCGTCTCTCCCCAGAAGTAAAGAAATGTGCCATTTTCTTTCTTTGAGGGTACTCTGCTTGGAGTGGTTTTTACAGGGACCAAGGAACACCAAAGCCACTTTTGGGTGTCACCCCAGGGCCTTGCTTTGACGCACACCCAAACGAGGCAGCCCTAAGGCCAAGGCACACAATACGCTTGAAGTAGGTCCAGGTGGTGATCTGCTCCCCATCCCGCCGAACAGATCGAGCACCAAATCCCTTCGCGCTGGTCTTGTCTTTCCTTACAGCTTCCCTCTAAATTGGTGTGTTTCGTTGGGGGTTTGGTGGTGGAGGGGTTCGGTGGTTTGGTGGTTAAGGAGGGGTCTCCCAGTAATCTTGCTGCTGCGATAGGGAGGGAATGTGGGAATGAACCCAGGCATTTCCGAATACAGGAAACCACCAGTTACCAGTTGGATGGTTCATAAGGGTCATTCCCTCATTCCCTGCTGAGCACCAGCAAGTAATTGGTGGTTTGGATCTCGGTGGTTTGGTGGTTCGGAGGTTTGGTGGAGGGGTTTCCCATTCACCCTGTCCACCAACTAAGGGTTAGCTGATTACAGGGTTTGCACCACCAAAACAAAATAAGCGCATGAAAAAAAAAAACCTACGGAGCGTGCACATGCATTACAGCATCCTCAGCGGGCCAATCTTTTGGTTCTACCAGCGTGGATTCACGAGCGCCATTCTCGCGAACGCAGGCCAGCCAAGTTCTAGGGGCTCCCTTGTCTGGCTGACTTTCAAGAGACCCTCCCCCCCCCCCCAAGCCAAACATAAAATAAAAATAGAATGCCAAAATCTGTTTTGGGGGCTCACAGGCGCACATGCAGGTGCATTCAAACCTCAAAGGCAAGGCTCTGTTTATAGCACCTGGGGCAAAGGTCAAAGTCGCAGGTGCGACACCTGTAGGCCACGTAGTGCGGCCCCTGCCGGAGGCGCCGGCCCCGGACGAAATCCACCCGTTGGGATGGATGAAACCTTTGGGTGTGTGTAAAGTGTGTGTGTGTGTGTGTGTGTTTTTCTTGAGGCTAGCCTATTTACAACTTGGCTTTGGCTTTGAAGTCAAAACCAAAGTGCAACCACCGTTTTGGGGATGGGTCCCCCTTTGCTTTTGAGAACCCGACGAATTCTGGTGGTTTAACCACGACTCCGTGGAGTTTTGTAGTCAGCCGGTCCCCCGCCTTCATCTGATCGCTGCAGATGTCGCAGCCATGGCACTTCAGCCCGGTCTCGAAGAACAGCGGGTGCATGTGGATATGTGCGATCAGCCTCGGTCTCGATATTGGTTGCATGGATTCCTTTCCCGCGTGGAAACCCATTTGGAAGGGCCACCGATGTCCAGATGAGCTCTCCATTCATGTCATTTGTCACTTCATGTTTGAGGCATGAAAAGACCAGCGGCTCACCTTGCTCCTCCGTGAACTTATTGAGCACATTCTTCAGCATGAAATATTCCTCGGTGCACTTCTGCACGGAAACGAAACGGCCAGCTGAAGGCTCTTGAACTTGCCCACATGGGGAGAGTGCTCAAAATGGTGGACCCCTTTTGGTTGGTAGTTAAAGGGAAGCTGAAAGGAAAGCCCTGCCATTTTGGGGCCCGAAACCTTATTTTGACGAGCCATACCCACATCTTCAGTGCGCGGGCACAAATGGTAGTTTGGGGCTGGTGTGCCCCTTATCATCCCCTTTACTATAGATGACAGTAGAGATTGGCCGTTGCCAAAACAAATGCTCCGGAAAAACTGCACCAAGGCTCCACGTTGATCATGATCATGGTCAACGCTTGCAACGTGCCCTGTATCACCAAGTAGTTCGGGTCATAATGGAACACGATGCACTTGATGCCGTTGTAGAACGACATGCCTGTGCTGATGGCAAACAGCACCATCATGATGATTTCCTTCCTGCGGTCCTTTGAGATGACTTGCCAAAGACATGCAGGTATTAACTTTGATCGTGACCCTTTGGTGGACATCGCAGTTCGGTGGGGACTCATGTCCGCTATTCGTGAGGTGTTCCCCTCTTTAAATTAATGGCCATGTAGGTTGTAAATGTTCCCTTTACTACAAACAAACAAAAAACAACTCGCAACAAAAAGTGTCTGAAGTTGCCGCACCATGAAGAACCCCAAAGACAGAATGTTGAACAAGTTTGCCAACTCGATCTGGCAAGGATCTGCTCTCTTCATCAGAAGCGCGTGATCCCGGTTCATCTCGAAGGCGCTCTTCTCCTGATAGCCGCTTGGATCAAGGTCTCTGCCAGAAACTTGTGGAACTGACACGCAAAACATGGGAAGGCAATCACCAAAGGACGTTTAGAAGGAATGTCCGTGTCATGGACATTGAAGATGGCTCTGCGCAAAGAAGAGAAAGACAAGGAATGAGCGCATGCGAGAAAACATGTGTGGCCGTGTGGTGCGAGTAGACAATTCGCGAGCAAAGAGCAACCCTCTGCGGTTTTGGTTTCTCCGGCTGGCTGAAAGCTAACCCATTCGCCACGCCTCAGAACGGGTGCGGCACTCGGAACGCTTTCGGACCTGGTCCCATTGGGGCGGGCGCGCATTTCGCGGCAGGTGGCGTGGCAGCGCAGCACTTTGGCACTGCTCGAACGCGCGCGTGCGGTGTCACGTGCGGATTCCGTGGCAGGTGCAGCATTTTCGCCAGCGTCAGGTGCCAGCACCTTCTCAGGGTCAGGCTCTGAGAGAATCAGAAATAAGAAGAGAAAGAGGAAGGGGAAGAGACAGAACACAGAAAGAGAAAGATAATTATAGATCATCATATACTTTGAAATCCCACCCCCCCCGCCCCCTGCCGGCTTGCTGGTGATTATTGGTGTGAATCTTACTTGGGGGCCCTCTAGTGGGGATTTATGTCCACCAAGCGCTTTTGAGGTGCAGATTCAAAGCCATAGATTAGGACCGCTCTCAAAGCTCAGGGTTTATTCATCAACTAGGAAAACGACCAAACTGGTATCCCTCATGGCAATGTCGTCGCAAGGCGTCCTTTGCCCAAAAAACAGCCAAGCAACTCATTTGGGAGAGTCTGAAAAAATAGGGGCTGCTGCCCTGTGGTTTTCCTTCAAGACAACCCAAACAAAGGGGTCCCTACAGACAGACACACACACACACAAACAGTTGTCACAAACATATTGACCAATCCAAGAGCTGGGCAAACACCCCATAGCCGCAACAAACGTGCGGCTTCCTTTATACGTACTTTCCAGAGAGCCTGAACCAGTCCAACATCTCCCAATGACCATCTGTCAAACCATCCAATGTTCCACGTGAGAAGGTGGTTTGACCTGGTACACATCGTCACTGCCAAGCTTGCCCGAAACTGCAGAGCGCCTCAAATTGTTCCATGCGCCAAAGATAAGCCTCTGAGTAGCTTCCCGCCCCTGTGACAGGGCAACTTACTTCAACGAGCTCTCACAAATCGGAAATGCAAAGACCAAGACGGGGGTCACGCCAACCCCTCGTTCCAACATCTGGGTGTGAATTTTCATTGCGGCCCTTTGGTGGACATCATTTACATGGGGAGTTGATGGCCACGAACCACTTTTGAGGAAATCCAAAATAAAATCCTAGCCATATCTACACCACCAAGAACATTGCTCCAAACAGCCTCTTTGGGGATTTCCCTTCAACAGCAACGGCTGGTTGTTACAAACTTCCTCCAAAGACTGAGGTCCCCGCGGTGCCATTGCTGCAGAAGCTCGCATCCGAAGAAGGGCTTGTACCTCATTGGGGTTCTTGCTTGTTCACATTGGGATTTGGGGCTCGAGGAATGGGCAATCCTCCACCAAAGAGGTTAGAAGAAGGGTACCTTTTTTTTTCTCTGCCGTCTGTTTTTAGTAGGGGGTTCCCCTCCCCCAAGAAAAGGTAAAAAGGCGCCACTGGAAAACCCAGCCTTTTAAACCAACCATACAAACCACACCGCTTGTCTTGCGCACAAAAACGGTCCGGCCGGTTGCCACCGAAGAGGAGACCTACACATGGCAGGGGATGCGATCTAAGTCTGCGGCCGTTGACAGTGTGCATAGGCACCTGTCCGCTGCGAATCTCAGATGGACGGACCCCGCACCCCCCCCCCTCAGATCCCCCACCACCCAAAAGGTCTGTGGCAAACAGATTCGCAACTCGCCGCTGAAGGGTCTAGGGTATGTATTCTGCAATTCTTTGCACGAACTCCAAAAGCTGAACTGAGAATCAGATCCCCAAGCAAAGGACCTCCATGGTGAGCTCCCAATCCGTGAACGAGGAGGCTTGGCCAATCCGATTTTCCATAATCCCTAGGCAGCCACTAAGGGGACCCAAGGTAAGGATTAAGGTCTTCCTTTGAACAGCCCAGAATGTAGGATTCGGACCCCAAATATGGATTTCGGTGGGTGTTCCTTTTGGTTTTTCAAACCAACCTAGAAACCAACCTGGAAACCAACCTGGAAACCAATCTGGAAACCAACCTGGAAAACATCAACCTGGAAACCAACCTGGAAACCAACCTGGAAAACATCAACCTGGAAACCAACCTGGAAAACATCAACCTGGAAACCAACCTGGAAAACATCAACCTGGAAACCAACCTGGAAACCAACATGGAAAACATCAACCTGGAAACCAACCTGGAAACCAATCTGGAAACCAACCTGGAAAACATCAACCTGGAAACCAACCTGGAAACCAACCTGGAAAACATCAACCTGGAAACCAACCTGGAAACCAATCTGGAAACCAACCTGGAAAACATCAACCTGGAAACCAACCTGGAAACCAATCTGGAAACCAACCTGGAAAACATCAACCTGGAAACCAACCTGAAAACCAACCTGGAAAACATCAACCTGGAAACCAACCTGGAAACCAATCTGGAAACCAACCTGGAAACCCGGAAACCATCAACCTGGAAACCAACCTGGAAACCAACCTGGAAACCCGGAAACCATCAACCTGGAAACCAACCTGGAAACCAACCTGGAAACAGTCAACCTGCAAACCAACCTGGAAACCAACCTGAAACCCGGAAACCATCAACCTGGAAACCAACCTGGAAACCAACCTGGAAACCATCAACCTGGAAACAGTCAACCTGGAAACCAACCTGGAAACCATCAACCTGGAAACAGTCAACCTGGAAACCAACCCGGAAACCATCAACCTGGAAACCAACCTGGAAACCAACCTGGAAACCATCAACCTGGAAACAGTCAACCAACCTGCAAACCAACCTGGAAACCAACCTGGAAACCAACCTGGAAACCAACCTGGAAACCAACCTGGAAACCAACCTGGAAACCAACCTGGAAACCAACCTGGAAACCAACCTGGAAACCATCAACCTGGAAACAGTCAACCAACCTGCAAACCAACCTGGAAACCAACCTGGAAACCAACCTGGAAACCAACCTGGAAACCAACCTGGAAACCAACCTGGAAACCAACCTGGAAACCATCAACCTGGAAACAGTCAACCTGGAAACCAACCTGGAAACCAACCTGGAAACCAACCTGGAAACCAACCTGGAAACCATCAACCTGGAAACAGTCAACCTGCAAACCAACCTGGAAACCAACCTGGAAACCCGGAAACCATCAACCTGGAAACCAACCTGGAAACCAACCTGGAAACCATCAACCTGGAAACAGTCAACCTGGAAACCAATCTGGAAACCATCAACCTGGAAACAGTCAACCTGCAAACCAACCTGGAAACCAACCTGGAAACCCGGAAACCATCAACCTGGAAACCAACCTGGAAACCAACCTGGAAACCAACCTGGAAACCAACCTGGAAACCAACCTGGAAACCAACCTGGAAACCATCAACCTGGAAACAGTCAACCTGGAAACCAACCTGGACACCATCAACCTGGAAACAGTCAACCTGGAAACCAACCTGGAAACCATCAACCTGGAAACAGTCAACCTGCAAACCAACCTGGAAACCAACCTGTTTTCCTTTTGATCCCCCATCTGATTCTTCCCCGAAGCCGTCGGCCCGCTCCTCCGCCAAAGGCACCCGGAGATCCGAGGCGGAGCTGGAGCTCGCCACCGTGCGGGCCTCCTTGGGGACTTCGGCCCCACCCGGCGGCTTTGCTTCGATTGGCGGTGGATCCCAGTGGAACCGCTGGGCCATCTGCCATGTTCCCGTTGTTGTTTTTGTTTTTTTTTGTTTCTTTTTTTTTCTCGGTTGTTTTTTCTTTTATTTTTTCCGGTTCCCTGGTTTACCTGGACAGGTCAATGGGATCGGGTAGGTCATCAACCATGCTCCTGGTGTTTATAGGGTTTTTCTGGGTGACCTGGACAGGTCAATGGAATCACTGGGCAACATGGGCCGCAAAGGTTTAGATGCGACCATCTCATGTCCCAGGTCAACCAGCTAAGCAATCGCTCAAGGCCGCTGCTCTCTTGGCCATATGGCTTTTTGCAGGGCAGGTAGGCCCGAAAAACGCGTGCAAACAGGACAAACCCGCCCGCCGGCCCCGAAGTTGACGCAATCCCCTCTCTGAACGCAAATATTTGGAGCCCATGTCAGGAAGTTGACCCATGTTCAGATCCAACCTCCTACTCATGTCATTGATGCGGTTCCCTTCTGAAAATTTTCATTGATGTTTGGCTTTTGAGGTGGTACCCTACTGAAACTCATAGCCATACTATCGTTGCTGCCCAAGGTTCTCTATGTGTCTCGCTTCAACATTGCCCCACAGGACGGAGATTTGGGTCCGCGCAGCAGGACTGCGCGTCTGCGGGAGGGTGAAAGATGGCAATGTCTGGGAGGGAAGGCACCCTTCAAACTGGGGGCTTCTTCTGGCCAGTGTTGTGGGCGTTTCTTCTCTGCAGAACGTAGAACTTGGGGAACCCCTTGGAATCGCCGAACCCAGGTAGCAAGTTGTCAGTCCCAGACCCCAAAAGGGCTCCATTAGCTTCCAGGCGAGCGAGTAAAGTCCTCAGTTTGACACACGGTTCCGTCTTTTTGGGTTGGCTCGGTACCCCTTTTTGGGTTGGCTCAAAGGCAAACGAAAGGGAAACCGAAGCCAATCTTTGGGCCCGAATTGCGACTGTGAAATGCTTCAAAGGGGAACTAAAGGGAAACCAAAGTGACCTTGGGGGGCTCCAATTCCTGATCAGCTCGCCTGGGCGCGCCGGTACTGCTGCAGTGGAGACTGCGCCTGGCGATCTGTGCGTGAAGATACCCAAACAAGCACCGTGTTGTTTCCCTCCCGCAAGGGTTGTACATATATATATATATATATATATATCTATCTATCTGTTAATGTACACACTGGCTTTTTCAAGCCCTTACCCTCCCTACTATCATGGAAGTGCACAGGGGGCTTCCCAAAAAGGACAGTTGTCTTCCAAAGCCCTCCTGTGAACCTCCATGATTGTTGAAGGGAGGTTACCTTGGCGCCACAAGCGGACATGGACACTTTGAGTTTACTTTGAAACCAAGAACTCTAAAAAACCAGTGCCCTTGAAGGAGGCTGCAAAATTCACCCAAAGAGAGGGGCCAGGCAGGCAAATCCATTCAAAAGTTTTTCGCGCGGCCTCGGTTCGGCGGTACACGACGAGAGCCAGGCAGGAAATCAGCGGGAAGACCTCAAAACGAGGTCGAAAGAGCGTCCCAGGCAAAAACGGAATGAAGCTGTTTGTGTTTCTTTTATGTTCTTTGCGTGTGTTTCCCAGGTGGGGCTTCCAAGGGCCGTGAGGAAAAACATACGCCAGAACGAACACCTGGGTAGCTGGAGGGTCGCAGGGAACGCTGCAAACCGTTGAAGTACTGGGACCACCATTTAAAGCTTGTAACTCACACGATTTGTTTTAAGCTCTTCGCTGGCCGGCCTGGTGCTTTTTGAAGGCCAAAGCTTGAAGGGAAAGGACCTCTACGTTTGACCCGTCCAACCCGCCCAAAGAACGGATCCAACTTGTGACCCCAAGGAAGGCCCAAAGGAGCCAAAACATGGCCCCGAGCCCCGGACGAGGCACGAAAGGAAAGGGCTAGAAAGGAAATGGGCGAGTCTCAAGACGGGAATCGGAGCCAAGGTCGGCTTCCTGTTGGTTTCCTTTTGAACCAACAAAACGGGTCGCAAACAGACATGACAGGCCAAGGACAGGAAGGTTTCAGAAGACAGAAATCCTTTCGGACCCTCCACTTCCATTTCCAGTGGAACACTGGTAGGAGGGTTGCCCACATGACACCTTGAAATCGGGTCTAAAACTTGGGTCACCCGTTGAATGGGTTCCAACTCTCTTGCTGTTGCTGTCTCTCTTTTTTGGGTTGGGGGGGAGGTACTAAAAAAACACCCTCGCGGACGCAAGGCACCTGATTGTCCTATGGCGATCGGAACCTGGAGTTCAACGTGGCCCCAGAAATTCGTGGCCAGGGAAAATGCGGAAACCGCCCCCGAAAAGTGGGGCCCTTCCTTTTGCTGCACGAAAAACCTATTTGACATATTCGGGTATGTGTTTCAGTAGGGGGACCCCCAAAATGCTGGCGCTCCTGTCGGTTCTTTTTGCATCAATTGAGCAAAGCTGAAAAGACCCGGAAACAACTCAAGAGATCCAACTTGAGTCGGATTTCCCTTTTACTCTTCCGGGTGAATTATAATATTTCACCAACCTGAAACTTGCGGTGGTTGGGGGCAATTCCCCACATAAACCACCATTTGGGGTGAGGTCGTGTGAGGTCGTTGTAATTCACCCAGACTCTTTGTTTCCTCACGCTGACTCGGCAAACCTCCCTCACCTCCTGCCCGAGTCCCCCACCACCAGGCGGACCAAACAGCAGGTGAGGGTATCAGAGGTCACCTCGGCAGAAGCTCAAGCTCTACCAATTCACATGGAACCCACTTGGGTGTGGCCGGGGTTACGCAGGTTTTGGTCTTCGTGTCCATTTACCCAGGGACATTTTGCCATTTTGGGTACATCTTTTAGCCGCACCCGGGGCCCGATTCTTCAAAAGGAGCTTCCACGTCTCAACGTGAGTGCGTGGTTGGCGGCGGTGGCTTAACTATTTCCACTGAACATAGACATTGCTGGAAAAACCAAGGAAGCCAACCAGCCAACCAAGCAAACAAACCAATCAACCAAGCAAACAAACAAACAAACAAACCAATCAAACAAACCAACCAAGCAAACAAACCAACCAATCAAACAAACCAACCAACCAAACAAACAAACCAATCAAACAAACCAACCGAGCAAACAAACAAACCAATCAACCAAGCAAACAAACAAACAAACCAACCAAACAAACCAAGCAAACAAACCAAACAAACAAACAAACCAATCAAACCAACCAAACAAACAAACAAACCAATCAAACAAACCAACCAAGCAAACAAACCAACCAATCAAACAAACCAACCAACCAAACAAACAAACCAATCAAACAAACCAACCGAGCAAACAAACAAACCAATCAAACAAACCAACCAATCAAACAAACAAACAAACAAACATAACAAACCAAATAAACAAACCAATCAATCAAACAAACCAACCAACCAATCAAACAAACAAACAAACAAACAAACATAACAAACCAAACAAACAAACCAATCAATCAAACAAACCAACCAACCAACCAATCAACCAAACAAACCAACCAATCAAACAAACAAACAAGCCAACCAGTCAAACAAACCAACCTTCAACCTTGGTATCCCGGCTGATTCGTACTTGGCCACGTGGGTGTCCTTCTTCTCGATGTTGCCGATGGCAAAAATGCCACCCGCCACTGATATGTCCAGCACAAAAGCCTCGGAGACGGCTGTGGGGGACCCTTTTTATGGTGGCTTCAAGGGGCCAGGGAAACAAACAAGCTCGATGTAGAGGTGGATGTGTCTCAAAATAGGTGACCCGCCAAAACGTCCAGTTTCCTTTCGTTTCCCTTTGAAACCCACCCAAAAACGGGGTCGTTCATTTTGTGAATCAAAACCCAGTATTCAACTGGTCGATCCCGAGAGCCATGCTTCAAGAATTAAGAAGGCGGCCGCAGCTATTTATGGTTGGGACTGTCCCTTACTAACCTTCATCTACCCGGGTTTTGATTGTGACTCATGTAGAGATGAAGTGTGGCCCCGATGGGTGAGTGCTTTTTTGAGGGTACCCTTTCTGGGTGTTAAAGGGAAGCAAACAGAAAACCCACCATTTTGGGGAGTCCAAATCCTATGTCAACACGAGTGCGGCGCTCTCAACCAAACGGCAAGGATTGGTTTGCTGTTGCTTTGCAGAAGCCCTGAACTACAGCCGCACCTTTGGGGACATTCTCTGGGTGTCGAACCTTTAGACCAAGCCCTTCCTGCCAAGTCCAGCATTTGGAGACACTCCCTAAGCTCTGGAGTATGAAAATCGACTCCCTTCTAAGCCAAGCAGCGGCCAGGGTGGCCAGAATGTGCGCCCTCCGCGACAGCTGCATGGGCAAGGCTACAGCCTCAGAGAGTCAAGGGGTTCATGTCTTTTTGTTTGAGGGTTTTTGTACTACACCCTAGGAGTACACCCACTGGGTATTGACCCCATTTAGGCACATGTCCGGATAAGACCGTGTTATTCTGAACCATTCTGGATCACTTCCCAAGGGTGTAATCCCAGGGTGTAGTACAAAAACCCTCAGATTTTGAGGCGAAAGCTGCCCTTTTCAGGTCGGTTCAATTTCAGGGAAAACCAAAAAGGAAACCAAGGCCCTTGCTTTGGCACATACCCATCTCCTGCACAGCTTCCCACAAAGCAACGCTCACTTCTGGGCGACTTAAGACGTGCCCAGTCATAGCCTGGGCATCACTCAGAAACGCTGCGAAGTTTGCCGGAAGACTTGCATGGGCCGCCTCATTCAGACAAGCGTCTGCACTCAAGGCAGCAGGAAGATTCGGCCACTGAGCACAAACAGCTGCCAGTGAAAGTGAACCATGCGCGTGTGCTGAAAGTTCTGCCATCCATTTTCACCCCAATGTTCACCCTGGACGAATAAACCAAAGGGGTAGGATGTGTTCATTTTGCTTTGGGTTGCCAAATAAAGTTGCCAGTCTCTCTCCTTGCAGTGAAAGTCATGCCAAATGGGGTTGATCAAAGGGTCCTTGACATGAAATACTGTAACCCTTGGGAAAAACCACAAAAAATATTATATGTCCCACATGGGGGAAGTTATCCATGGTTTGGCAGCCAAAATCTTGATCAACCCCAAATGAAGAAAAACAAGCCAAGCCTCGCCGGACTTTTTCTTTTCAGTGAAACAACCCCCGATCAATTTGTACACTGCGTCCTTTGCGCGGCTCAGGCTCCGGAGAAAACCCCGGGCGCGGTGCGCAAGGCGCCTTCAGGTGTCCGGTCTGCACAGCTCCTGCTCGGAGACCACTCCTGTGAGTCTTGCAAGCAATAGCCATCCTCCCTCAATCAGGGTGTGCGTGTGTTTCATTCATGAAGGCACGAACACCACCATCGCTGTGTTAAATTTATCCTCATCCTAAGCATCATCCTCGCCATCAACATTATCATCATCAACGTTATCAACATCAACGTCGTCATCATTGTCATCATCGTCGTCATCATCACCACCACCACCGCCACCACCATCAGCGCCACCAACACCAACACCGCCACGACTGCAGTTCAAGTCATAGTGTGTTCATTTAAAACAATCGTTATGGTCATATGTCGCTTTTGGACAAATAAGGTAATGGAATCTAATGCTTAGACCGATTCAACTGCAACCTTCCTCTTAAAGTGAACATGTGAATTGCGAAGTGCACGATTCGAGCAGTCATTTCAATTCGACATTAGCTGGCAAGATGCTCTGTGGCTTCAATCAAAACAATCTAACTCCCAGCTGTTCATTGGTGTTTACTAAATAAGTGTAACTTTCAACTGGGCACCCTTTGGTGGACATCAGCGGACATCTGGGGATTCAAGGGGTTACCTATTGAAATGCATGACCAGCATTGGCACCTGTCATCACCTTCGTTGCCATTGCCATCATCACCATCATCAAGGCAGACGCCTTTGGCTGATCAAGAACAGCCCCTCACACACAAACACATAATGATATTCGACAAGAGTTGCCAAAGATATGCAAACAGCATCAAACAGCCAGATGCTGCACAGTGCCTGGCTGTGAGTGTCTGGCAAGTATGTGACTAGTTGAACCAAGAAAATCATGTAGGTAGGATGTGAACAAGTAGGATGTGTTGCAAGGTACTCATATGCGTATGACCGCGTTACACACGCCCATCCACCCACCCGCACGCACAACACACGCACCAGAGCTGATCCATGGAGCCATCAATGCCCTTTGCAGGATGTCAAGGAGAGTCTTCTGGAGCGTTGAAAGCCGAGTGCTCCGTTAAAATCTGCTTGAAATTATCTGGCAGTTGGAGTAGCCGTCGGATTGACAGTAATCAACCATGCATTTTGAACAAGCAGATTCAACAATCACGGGAAGCTGACGAGCGAAAACAGGACGTCCGTCGGGTCAAGTGTCAGAGGGTATAAAACGTGGAAGTCTGCCAAATGAGCCCACCCAAAGAAACGAAGAAACCCGATGATGAAGCTACTTCCCAAACATGAATTAGCCTTCAGAGATCAAAACTGTTTGCCAACTGGTGGGTTTCCTTCCCAGCTGGGTAAAGACACTGAACGGCCGGCGACGTTGGACCTGTGGCCCTGCTTGGACTTCTACCCGGAACCCAATGAACCCGAAACTCAGTGGGTGCACGTTGCTTTGATGCGAAGGGCACCCTTTTTCGGGCTGGGTGAGGGAAATCCGAAGAAAAACCGAAGCCAGGTATGTTTATGGCCCCGCTGTTGCGACACACACCCGACCTTTCGGTGTTTACAACTTTTATACCACACATTGCCCCAAAGATGGGGTGTTAGGCCGCTGCGCCAGGGCGAGGTGCAAAATCACCCGAACTCGGGCCGGACTGAGGTCCGCTGTACAAGTGGATAACGAGGGGAAACCATCCTGCAGAACCTAGAGCCATCTTTCATACCTGGCTCGTTTAGTTCTCTAGCGGCTTGCCTAGATGCCTCGAGCCTCAACTCCGGGGGTGTCCGTCCTGTTCCACGTCGCCCCTCCCAAAAGTTGCGTGTTTGGCTGCCGGACCAGTCGCCTGCCAAGGGAGCGGAGGCGGAGACCGAGACGGCGGGTTTGGCGGACCCTGAAAATGGCGTCGCAGGTTCTGTGCGGCTACCCAGTTCTTGGAGTAAAAGGAAGCTAAAGGGAACACAGACCCATAGGGGCTGGCAAAGGAGGGAAACCAACACTTCAGTGGGGGGGCTCCTATTTGAGACAAGCCCAAAGGAGTCTGGCAAATCTTGCTCGTTAGCAAAGTAAAGCCAGGTGAAAAACTCACTGCTCCGCATTGCAGCGTGGCTGTGGTATGAGGGACACAAGGAAAAATCACTCCAATTCAAGGCAGCAACAAATTGAAGAACGTTCTAGGGGTAACTTCCCCATTCTTTCCAGGGATCCTTCTTTCTAGAAAACCATCAAACACCCTGGGAAAACGGATCCGGTTTATGCAAAGGAAGGATGGCTGAACAGACACGGAATCAACCCCATTCAACACCGTGTGCACTCTGAATACTCGGCTCTCTTCAGACTCCGAAGTGATCCGAAGCTCCCAGCTTGCACGCGTGGGCAAGTGGCCCTCTTTGGATCCTCCATGATGGGAAAGAGGGTATGTGGGGATCTGATTTTCGGCCCTTTACATGGGAGGAGAAAACTGGGAAGAACCACAAAAAGATGAGATGTTGCCACTAAATGGGAAAAGTTATGCATGGTCATTTGGGGGCCAGCAATATTGATCAATTCACATGTGTCAAAAGTGGGGGACCCCCAAAATGGTGACTTTCTTGTTGGTGTTCCTTCACATCCAGGTGAGAAGGGTACCCTCAAAGTGCACAAGGCCCTTCTAGCTGGCCAAAGGACAAAGGACCTTGGCACCGACGCCAGGTCAAAACATCCATCTGGGTGTGTCTACAGGGCAACATCAAAAATGGCAAAGACATCCCAGTGCGTTCCTTTTTAAATCAATGAAAAAGGGATCCGCCCAAAGAAATAGACGCACCCATCTACAATTGTTTCCCCTTCACCAAGCAAGCCACTGTCAACGTTTGTTGTGTCCCGAAAAGGCAGAGGGGATCCCATTTCCGAACAGTGTGTTGGGCTCGTGTGCACCATGTCATCCCCCTACTGCCGTCGTTGACAGTCTATTTGAGGGTACCCCTTTCTAAGGTTGGTGTAAAGGGAGACAAACAGGAAGGCCACAATTCTAGGGGCATTATGGGTCCCATTATTTTGACACATACCCTATTCCCCACATCTTGGCCCACATCTTGCGTACTCCAAGCAAAGTATGCTGGCCTCTGTTTAAACTTAGTCTACCCAAATATACAATATGTGCTAACCAATTCAGAAAATGTGTGTTTTTGCATCCCCCCCCCCCCCAACAAAAAAAAAAGGAAAAAAAGAGAAGAAAGTGTCCCCTTTGGTTTCTCTGTAAAACCACGAAACACGGGGTACCCTTAAAAAGGAGGAGCCATCCAACCGACGAAGCCGATCTCAAGTCCCCGCCTGCAGAGAGCCCGTCCTCGCCGGGGCACAGCATGCGCACCTTGCTGTACCTCCACGGGCGCACGGCGCGAAGTGGCGGTGGAGATGGTTGCGAGATCCATTTCGCACCACCCAAAGAAACCTAAAAATGATTGTTCCCTACCAACAAACAATGGTTTGTCATGGTTTCTTAGGTGATGCAGGATTTGGTCCATCCACAGTAGGTGGCCTGTTGGAAAAAATAGATGGCCCTGGTAAATGGGAGGGAACCCATCTAAACCAGTGGAACCCATCTATTTTTGTTGGCCAAACTAACCTCAAAAGGACACCTATGATCTGAACATCCGGCATAAATTGAGGACGTAAATGACCACTTCTCAAATACAACAAAGAGGGTTTCCCAAAGACTAAGCACCCATATAAGGAGGGAGATGCACTTGTATCACAGAAGTGGGGAAAAACCCCTTGATCCCACAACCCTGTACTTGGGGGGTGAAATTGGCCCGTGTTTGGACAAATGATTGGACACCCTCCACTGTTACATCGTTCTCGTCAATCCTAAAAAAATAAGGGATGCAGATCCTTTCAACTCGTGGGCATATCAGCAAAACACCTTGTCTTTGCAGCCACCCACCGCAGTATTCCCGCCAACAAACAAGGGAGAAGCGTCCTCGGAGCCTGCTCCTAGTTCCCAGGAGCAGATGCAGAAAACCGGGGCTGAACCAAGAAAACTGGCCACCACTTTGTTGGAACCGAACCAATTTTCTATTGGCTGATTCCTTTTCCATTCTTTTCAACCATCGTTCTTTTCAATAACCGGATCCGTTTTCCCGATCGGGTTTCCGGAGGTTTTCTAGAAAAAGGATCCCTGGAAAGAATGGGAAAGGTATCCTTAGAAGTCTGTGGTGAACCCGTCACTCGGCTGCTCGCTCCTCGAGTCGCAGCTGAGTCACCACTCGACTACGGCAGTGCAGGCCGCGTTCAGCACCCACGCCTCGCCGTCCATCTGGAAATGTTGTCCTGGCACATGCCGGGCTGCCCTCAGATCCTTTGCTACTTTATTTATGGTGTTTTTTTTCTTAAAACTTTTGGTGGGTGACATGGACACTACCACTAAACACTAAAAAGCTAAAAGGCTAAGGGAATGGCTGCTAGCTACCAAATTTATCTTGCTCACCGTGCAAATCTAAACTCAGGATCTGTTTATGTTTTCTACTACCAATTTTTCAGATCGTTTCAGGCAAGGGCGCCAGGGGCTGAGTCAGGGGCAAAAATGCAAGATGATATCAAACGTTGACCCAGCAGGGTTCCTCAAAGGCTTCCGACAAGCAACATAAAATGCTTTTAGAAAGGGATCCTCTGAGCTGGTAAAGGTGCGCCTTTTGGCCCACCTTTAAGGTCAAAAGGACGTTTGGGTGGGCTCCACACTCCGCGCCTAAACCAGAAGTAGACAGTAGACCAGGAATATTGTCTGGGACGTAAACGCCGAAAGGACCACTCAGAACCTGCCGGTCGCGTGCAAATGAGCACAAGCACCAGGATTCCTTCGAACCCAACCCCCACGACCAAAAGTCGCCGTGTCCTTTCTTCAGCTCCATCTCCACTCTTCGTGGCTGACGAAGGATGGGGATATCAGCGCAGGGGACCTTCATGATCTTCTTGCTCAATGTCATTCCAATGACCTGAAGCCAGTGATCCATTCGAGAGACCCGACATGATGACTTTGGATCAACCCGTTGGACCGTACGTCTCCGGCGTGGCTCCCCCACTAAAAAAGGGGGGGCTCCATGTATTGTTGGTGTTGTTCTGCAAGTAGGGTCCGGCTTGCTCCGAAGTTGACATCTTACACTGCGAAGGGACCACCTCCAATTAGTGCTCCGCTTTGGGCGCACTTGTGTTTTGGTTTTGTGTTCGTGTTGATGCAGGTGTTGCCGCTTTCTTTGCTGGTGGGCCAACCTCCTGACACATTTTAAACATGCGCCCAGGGGTTCCTTAGTAAATATCCCCGGAATCCTAGCCCATAGCCGCCCCAACACGAGCTAATCTCGGCCTCATGATTCGACCATTGTCAAAGTCACCCAAGGAAACACCCCCAGCTGAATTTGATAGACCCCAGTAACACTCAAAGTAATGGGGTTGCGCTTTCGGAGGGTACCTTGCTCACCTTGGCTGGGGGTCCCACTACTTTGACACAATCTGGGTGGACCCCATCTCGTAGGTCGTCACAATTCACGAACCCCAGCTCCCGGGTTCTTTCTCACCGCTTCTGCCACGGCTAGGGCTCCGCACACCGTAGGGCCCCTCGCGCGTGAAGACCTCCAACTTCCCGTCGTTGGGGCTGACCTACGGATTTCGTCCCGCCCCCGAGGGGGGAGGGTGCTAACTCGGCTGTTTTCTGCTCCGCTGCCAACAGTTTAACTTTTGGTGGTTTACTGGAAAACCCATTAGTTGGCAAAAAGCTAAAGTCGTAACATTCAAAATGCACCAAAGTAAAATACGGGGACCCCCGAAAAAATGGGGGGGGGGGGTCCCCCCGAAAAAGACACCTCCATGTGGGTTTACCTGTGTTGGGGGGCCCCCTGGTTGGTTGGCTTTGAAGGAAAGAACCTGAACCCAACCATTCTTGAGGCTACTCCTTGGGTGTTCATGGGAAGCCACCTGGAACCGAAGCACATACCCGCAAGTCTCCCAGACCAAGTCGGATGGAGGATTTGGTACCTCGGAGGCCAACGGTGCCATGGGTCAACACGGCGAAAACGACGTCGCTAGTGTCAACATAGGTGTCCTTTTAGGGCAATAGATGGGTTTCCCTGGTAGATGACTAAACCACCAGGTAAAACCAGGAATCGCCCTCGATTTTCCTACCAAAACGACCAAAAAGGACACCTGCGCTTTTCCGGCCTGCGTGTCCATGGTAGTCTTGCCATATAGACACATGCCAGCGCCTCGAGTGAAACATGTCTGTGTGTGGAGGCAAACCCATGTTGCATTCAGCTTCCTTTCGTCGACCCCAACTTTGCCGCGCCCCTCTCCTTGACCCCCCGTTGGGCTCATTTGGAGCGGCTGAGGCTATGCCACCAGGCAGCCGTAGGAATTCAAGTTCGTCAGGGTAAACTGCCTCACTTGGCCCTTGAAAGCGAAGGCCGTGTCCTCGTTGTCAAACCTCACCTGACACGAACCTCCCATGGCGTGTCGCAAAAAATTCAGGTGCCATCTGATCCCCGCGTATGCGGACCCAGACCAAAACGGCAGCCCCAGGTGCTTCCCGAATAAGGACCCACTCCACTTTAAAAGAAAACCGAAAAGCCCCCCACCTCCAAGTCCTCATTGAGGGCTCGGGTGCGGCAGCAGAGACACCGCGCGCAGTTGGGGCCGTTCAGCCCGTAGCACAGCAGCCCCCCGTGGATGAAGCGGCAGGGCGGCATGCAGCGCAGCCGGAAGCAGCACCGGCCCACGGGCGAGCTCCTCACACGGCCCACCTGAGCACCCGAAACACGATTTGGGTGTGCCCAAATAGAACCCTGGCAAATGAAAACCTGCGGTTTTCTGGTGAATGAATCTTGACCCATACCGATTTGAGCATAGGTGTCCCTTTTTGGTTGCAAATCCGCCGACCCCATGCCTCGGCATGGGGGCGGTGTGTTCTGTGTTGCTTTTGTTGATATGCTTTCTACAAGTTTAATGTGAATATGATTATGTATATATATATATAACTTAAGTGTCCCTTGGGGCGGCCCTTAGGGCTGGTTTCTACGTCAGCTGGATTTCTGGATCTCTGGATTTCTGGATCTGGATCCTGATCCCCTATTCTGGATCTCTGATCTGGAACTGATCTCCTCCCCCCTCCCTCCCTCCTCCCCCCTCCCCCCCCCCCCCCCCTCCCCCCCCCCCCCCCCCAAAAAATAGTAAAAGGAGAATTCAAAGAATTATTCTTTCTACTATTTTTTCTCCAACAGCAACACAACAAACAGAAAACAAAATCCAGAACAACAAGCAAACAAAATAAATAATCACAACCAGCAACAAAAATATTTAATCACAGCATGCAACATTAAATAATTCAAACAAGCATACCAACAAAACAGCAACACTCTAAATCATCAAAGAACCCAAACTCAAAAACACACATCAACAAAAAACAAAGCAACATACCAACAAAAAATATCACAAGAGTATCAAACAAAACAAAAACAAACAGCCAAAGCACGAAAAAATTGAAGAAGCATGCCAAGTCTAAACAACGCACTTTGAAAGAGATAAGCAAATTATAATAATTCAATCTTTACAAACGATAAATATATTACAATTATAACATATAATATTTTACATGTGATAATCATAGTATGATTAAACCTGTTTTTAGTGTTTCCAGTCTCCTATGTTGTTCCAAGAACTGCTCAAAATGTGTCTGATAGACCAGCTATTACGTCATAATCTTTCATTGGTGCTCTTTGTTGTATTAAATAACGCAACACTGATACCAAAGTATAATAATTAAAATGCATTGTTGTCATTCCTCCTCTTTCATTAATACTATTACCATTACGTTTAACGAGTTCTTCTTTCATTATGTTTTCGTAAATCTCTTTTATCCATTGATGATTTTGTTCTCCATACTCAGCGAACATATCTGGATATATATCTTTCATTGTTTTATCGTTTTTAATTATTTCAATGACTTGTTTATACGATGGATAGGGATTATCCTTAATGAAACTCAATATTATCTTTCTATCCTGTTCCAGCTCTTTTTCTGTCACTCCTAGCATTGGCATTTTCCTCTTATTATATTAAGTATTTATTCCTTTAAGTCATTTTACATTATAATTATAACATATAAGGGTATAAATGTTATAATCATAGTATGGTTTTAAGCCTGCTGGCCATGCGATAAATCACCTCACGCAAAGTCATTTTGCACCTCACGCAAAGCCATTTTGCACCTCACGCAAAGCCATTTTGTACAAAGCGCCTTTGTAGAAGCCTACTTGATGTCATTGCAACCCAAACTCAAAATCTTTAATCCGTCAAACTCATCAAAAATCAAATTTTTAAACTACTAGGTATTTTATATAGGTCATGCAAAGCCGTTTTGCACAAAGCGCCTTTGTAAAAGCCTACTTGGTGTCATTAAAACCCTAAACTCAAAATCCTTAATCCGTCAAACTCACTAAGATTTCCAAAACTAATTGGGATGGTACTCTATATAAATCACTCTGTGAATGAATGATGGGGTTTTCCCCCCAGTCGGCTTTGCTTTTTTGTGGCAGTCTCTGCGCAGTTTCAATATGTTTATGATTCCTGATGTTGCCACAATCCTTTTTACATAAATCTCTGGGTTTCCAAGTTGTAATGTTGTTCCATAGCCTAGTCCTCTTTCTATAATTAAATCCATATTTACAATAATCTACATCTTTAAAATCAAACTCATCCATAAACTCCTGATGCTTTAATAATCCAGTTTGTGGATTTTCGATTACAAAATATTTAGGATTGAAATATTTGATAATCTCAATAGTTTTTAAGACAATACGATTTGCATATTCGATATTCCTAATTCCCCTAGTTTTTGCTATGCTGTATTCAGTGCATGGGGGACTACTCCAAATAAAGTCAAAATGGTTTCTGTCAATCTGTTTGTAATCCCACTCCAAAATATCAGTGTTGATATCAGCATTTTTCAAGTCTAATGATATCACATTAAATCCAAGCGACTTTGCTATGGTTCCGACGCTTTTTGTTCCACTAAATAATTCTAATAAATTCATATTATTAGAATTACTTAGATATTAATTATTCAAATAATACATATACTCCATCATCATTTTTGAAATTTTGTAAAATTCTAAAGTGGTGCTTTTAGGTTGTTTGATTTTTCCTGTATTCAACATATCACAGTATTTCTTTTGCTTTGTCGGGTAGTCGCCCGATGGTCTTCCTATAGATTTTGCTTGAAATATCTTTTCGATTTTTTCTTTATCTTCATTGCGTTCAACTGGTTTCATTTTGTCATCAATGGATTTAATCATATCATTTAAGGTTTTAATATTTTTACCAATTAATGTTATCTTCTTCATTAAATCATTAATATTATAATTCTCATTTTCAGACATTACTATATATATTTATTTAGATAATTATTTATTTAATTATACGTTTTATTATATAATTTACCTGAATAATTTAATGTTATATATGCAAATAAATTATATTCTAAGAGTCTTTCATCAATTTTATTTTTCAATTTTATTAAACCTTCATCGTTACCTGTAATTTCAAAAAACTTCAACATTTTATCAAATTTATCTGGTTTAGTTATACCTTTCATAAAATATTTATTATTAAATTTAGCATCTAACCAATAAAAATATTCTATACTCAATTGTCTAGCAAAGTTTTTATCACCATCGAATATATCATTAATTTCTTCATTGTCAAAAGTTATAATTCTATGGTCTTGTCCATTCATAGTTGGCATTATGATTATATAAATAATTATATATTTATTTATTTAATTATTTAAATTTATAAAGTGCAATTATGTTAAATCTACTCTTTAAATACAAATTTTTCATGATTTGTTTAACAGTTTCCTGAGTTTCATTTTCATTATTATCGGTTGGTGTTGCTTGCCTACCAAATTTAAAAGTTATACTATGGACATCAGTTTCTAAGTTGATACTGTCTTTAGTTTTATCAATATTCATTTTCTTATCATTTTTACTTATTTTGAAACTTGTTGGAATACATGAACATTTACAACTTTTATTCTTTTTTTATTTCTAATTCATTCTTAAGTTCTAACATTCTTTTACATGTAGGACAAACAACCTCAATAACTGATGTTTCTTTAACAATTTCTTCATCAGTTGATGAAACACTTAAACCTGTCTTATTCTTTTTGTTTTTCTTTTTTCCCATTTATATTAATATTTATATTTTTCATATATTGTATCAAAAACTTAATTAATTCTAAAATAAAATAACATATTTTTTTACATCTATTATCAGTTATTAGTACTTGTTCTATATTCTCCATTTCATCTATTATATTAATATAATCTGTATAACTCCTTTTCATATTAAATAATAAGATAAATTATTTTTCATTTCTGTCTTTCTTTTCTTGTAAAGTTTTTTCATTGTATCGTCCTTATTCCACCTATATTCTACAAATTTCTGATGATGTTTTGAATTTAGATGTTTAAATAAATATTTGCTATCATAAGTTTTACAACAATTGCAATGAATAACAGTCATATAATAATAAGATAAAATAATTATTTAAATTATTTAATTTTATTATCCCTTAATATTAAATAGAATATTTATTTAAATTATTTTCTTTAGTAAGTTTTAATGCAGTTGGTATATCAACATCTAGAATATTATTATTAATAATTTTTTGTACACCATTTATCATTTCATTTGTATATCTATCGGGATAATCTTTCATAAAATTCAATAATTTATTATAATTTAAAATATCCTCATTTTCGATTGATGATTTAGGTATTATATTTTTTTTGTTATTAATCATCGATAAAAACGTTAAAATCGTATCATAATACATTTGGCCAGTCTCTGGAACTAAAACATCACCGAATTTATATATCGTCTGAATACTAATAACTTCATTTGGATTAATAGATATTCTTGGCATTATGATTATATAAATATTTATATATTTTTTTATTTATAAGTATTTATAATATTATTTTTATTATGCCTGATGTAAAACCAATTGATGAAATCAAATATGACTTTAAGCAAAGTAAGCATGAGGTCGTCCCTAAATTGCCAATGAGAGCTATGATTGTCGGTCCATCTGGAAGTGGAAAATCAACTTTACTTGTATCAATGATACTTGATATTTATAGAGGAGCATTTGAAAGAATTTTTATCTGGTCTCCATCTGTAAATTTAGATAGTATTTGGTTGCCTGTTAAAAAATACATTAAAGAAGGTTTGAAAGTAGATAATGATAAAGAACCGTGTTGGTGGGATGAGTTCAATGTTGAAGATTTAGAAAGAGTTATAGAAACTCAAAATAAAATAATTGAATACCAGAAAAAACAAGGAACGAAGAAATTATTTAATATTTTAGTAATTTTGGATGATGTATCTGATAATCCAGCAATAACAAGAAATAACAAATGGTTAAATTCTTTATTTTGTAGAGGTCGTCATAGTGGAATATCAACACTTGTAAGTCTTCAAAAATCATCAACCGTACCACCAATTATTAGGGTAAATATAAGTCATTTGTTTTATTATAAAGTTAGAAATTTTAAAGAGATAGAAATATTGCAAGATGAATTATCAGCAATTGTTAGAAGCGATAATTTACATGAAAGCAAGAAACTAATTTATAAAATATATGAGACTGCCACTGATGAACCGCATAGTTTTTTATATATTAACCTTTTAGAAAAGAATCCAGATAAAATGTTTATGAAAAAGTTTTCTCAATATTTGA